AAAATCCGACCTAGCTTGATATAAAAACAGTTTAGGTCCTTGGGGTTTGGAGCTCGTCTCAGGGTTCCTTTCAAGCGTCTCTGCAGCGGTGCCGGGGACGAGGAAAGAGATTTGTTTCTGGAACTATACCTATACTATTTTTGGGGGTTCCTTATTATGATTATAGTATAATGGCCCCAAAGCCCTATTCTAATTATTGCTCGCTTTTGTGAGTCCTCGCTGTAAGCTACTTTGGACTTGTGGAGTTTTGTTTGAGGGCTCCTTTTCTCACCGCTGGTATGCATGCGCAATGCCTCTACGAGGATTAGCCTTTGCCAACTGAGTCTGGAGGGGATGGCACTGAGAAAGCTCCAAAGCCAGCCTGGGGTCTACTGATTCGGGTGAGGGTCGCAAGGTTTGGTCTGAGGACTTTAGCAGTTAGGGATTGCAATTCCGGGCTTTAAAGTAAAAGCTAGAAAGTTGGAATATGATTATCCTAAGCCCTTTATGGTAAATTATAAGGTATCCTACCCTGAAACCATATCATATTCCAACTTTCTGGCGTTCCCTGTAGGTGTTTAGCTCAGCTGCATGGTTCAACAAATTCGTAGGGAAGGGCACCACTTGTAATGGGAGCCTACCAAGGGATGATCTCCAGAAGAGCAGCAGTACTTGGAGGATCATGGGACTTAGTAACTGGGGTTATTACTAGGGTAACTACACATATAATTACTTATAACCCCAATTAAGGCCATACTTACTAAGTCCCATGATCCTTTAAGTAGTAGTACCGGCATTAGTAGGCGCAGAAGAAGTGGCAGCAGCTTTTGTCGTTGCCGCGGCAGAATGAACAGAGACCCAACAAAAAGCATAAGCAGCAGAAATGGCTATATGAGCAACTTCCACATAACAAGCAACCAGTGCTGTATTATTCGCGAACCTTACACCCCAAACCCAAAACTCTAGCCAACATCATCGAACATGCCCTGCGAAAACGGTGAAACACGTCCTCTGAGGCCGTGGCTACGGCTTCCATCCTCGAAACCACCTGTCGGCGCGGATTCAATAAGAAGGGCAGAGTTGCGGCTTTAAGTCTAATGAAGAGGTCAGGGGCTTCATATGGGGGCCTTAATAATGGTATAAGTTTAAGAGTTCAGGGGCTTAATATGGGGGTATTATAGATTTAATTAAGAGTTCAGGGGCTTCATATGGGGGCCTTAAAAAAATAGAATAGGGTTTTGGGCCCACCTATACTGCAAATATAGTAAGGAACCCCGAAATAATATTGGAAATTATGTAGGCCCCGGTGGTCGAAAGAAACGCGTTAAGCCTCGATTGAGGATTGAGGTCAGCTCACGGTTTAATCTGTGCGGCTTGGGCTTTCAATCTTATTGAGCTCCGGTGCTCGGCACTGTACCGCGCAATTGCTGCAGTGCGGCGCCCGTGCAACAAGATCCAGCGCTGAAAAGCCGAACTACTAAATTGCATACATATCAGGGTACTGTCCCAATTGACCACTCACAGGGTGTGGGTTTAGGGTGTAGGGTAGCCGCATCTGGACGGATTCAAAAATCCGGAGCCCGGAAGTGTCTCTGAGGGATGCTAAACATCTGGGAATATCGAGTATTGTTGGCGATCCATGTTGCTATTTTGGAGCCTGCTTGCACTCGCTTATTTATTGGTTCTCCGTTCGTAGAACAGATGAACAGTACCGGTTTCAATGTGGATTCATGCCCAAATGGTGCGATGTATCGGCTTCACGCTCTGCACCTGGGTTTCGATAGTCCCCATAACCCACAGTCCCGTAGAGCAGTCCCTATAACCCACTGGTCCCTAATTGTTGTAGCAGTCCCTTGTAGTAGTCCCTGTGACACATCTCCTAATTCCCTACTAAGACCCGCCAAGCTTTCATCAAGAGCAGCCTCTTCAAGGCAAAGTCCAAAAAGCCCGGCACCTATCATCCAGCCTGCGAAACCTCTAACCCTAAAGCCGAAAGCCCTAAACAAACCGAAAAGCCCAAAAATCCCACACTCCAAATCCTAACACCCTAAGCCCTAAGCCCCAGATATACACTAAACCCTACACCCTATACACCCTTATCCTGGCCCCTGCGCCCCTTCGTCTGAGAAACCCTCAACCATGCAGGAAGCCTCTAGGTTAGTTGTGAATGCAGGAATGGATCTCTAGTCCCTAATTAGAATAGGGTTCCTTTAAAAGGGTCCTTTAAGGGTTACTACAAGGGATCTATAAGGGTACTATAATATAGGGGCCTCAACAATTAGAATGGGGTTTTGGGGGCCATTATACTAAAGCTCTAATAAGGAACCCCCAAAATAGTAGAGGTAATTACTAAGGCCCCAAAAGTAACCCAGCGTCCCGTATTGCAGCCCCTATAACCCACTAGTCCCTTACAGTAATCCCTTGTAGTGGTCCCTATAACCCATTCCCCAACTCCCTACGAAGAACCAGAGAGAGGAGGCCTGTGGGTTCTTCAACCAGTATCCAGAGATTTTCTCGAGCCTCGGACTTGAAACACAGATGCGAGCATCAAGCCTAAGGTAAGCAGTGGAGTTTGGGATTTAAGTGGGGTCTAGGTTATTTCTGGGATTGGGGTGAAGACAGCGGAGTTTTAGGTTGGGCGATGGAAGATTTGGAAGTTGGGTGCCCAGAGTGCGCCACCGGCTTTCAACCCTAAACCCTATTACAACCCCTAAACACTAAACCCTGCAAGCCCTAAACCCCAAGCCATACCTAGATTCGCACCACGTGCAAGCTTCATCATCGGCTTTAGGCATAAGGCTTTCACAGTTTAATTAGGGTTTCTGGGCCTTTAAGTAAAAAAAAAAAAAAAAGTATAAACGTGTATTTCATAATGCTTCCCTTGAGAAAAACGTATTAAAGTATCGTACTCCAAAGCCCAGGTTAAGAGTTGAGGGGCGTTCAGGGTATAGAATTTAAGGCTTAGGGTTTATGGCGGTCTCGAACACCGGGTGGATATGCTCCTCAGGCACGGGCAGCTCAGGATGACGAACCCGCATTTTTGCAAAGGCCTCAGACAGGCTCAACTTGAGATGTGGGTTTATGATGGATAGAGCTCCAGAAGATCGAGTGAAAGGCTTTCAAAGTAGGAGCAAAGTCTTAATCTGTCAGTTCGATAGTTCACGCTGTAGTAGGGGTATGGTGGCACTTTGCAGCTGTATTCACGACATGTCACAGCTGTATTGTATTTCCTTGACTACTACATCGGCATGCTGATTCCCACAGAAACCAGACCCTACACAGCCTGCACCATAAAGCCCCAGAGAACCGTTGGGTGGCCGTTTTGCTACGACACACGTCATGATCCGCACATCTGGTGCTCCAAGTTCGGAGCTTGCAGTTGATGAGTTTCAGGCTTACCCAGACAGCCCAATACCCCGTAAATAAGGAATATGGCTGAAATTATATAGGGCTTCATGTTATGATTTAAGCTGTATTTCTCAATTAAGGGGTATTGGGCTCTCTGGGTACTGCACACCCCACTAGACGAAAGGAACCCTGAACCCTGAACCATGAACCCCAGAATTGCATAACCGACTCAACAAACCCAGGACCCCCTGATGGCCTTTGAACGCTGCATGTAAACCCTAAACCCCAAAACCCTCAGACCAACCCGTATACCCCAAAACCCTACGCAAACCCTTAACTTAAATCCCTAACCCTACATGCAAAACCCTAAAGCCCTGAAGCCCAAGGGCTGCTTCTTTCCCTCCCCGCGCGCAGTCCCGGCTTCTGTACAGCCAGCGCGTGGCTCTCAGCTCTCGCCTCTGGACTTCAGGTTTTACAGCACCTGCCCCAGACAGCGCTTAGGGTTATAGGGTTTACTTGGAGGTTCACGGGTAGTTATAAGTGCGGTTATAAGTTCCTAATCTGGGTTCTAATTACGTCACCCTACTTAAAACCTTACTTAAAACTACCTATGAACCTCCAAGTCGGGTTTAGAATGGTTTCGGGTTTAGGCTTGGGTTTAGGTTACAGGGTTTACGGTTTTAGGCTTCAGGGGTTTGGGATTTATGGGGTTTATGGTCTTTGGGGCAACTGCCAGACAGTGTTTCGGGTATCCTCTCAGGTTGATTAGTGGAGGCGGTCGTACAGGGGCCTGCATATAGAAAAGCTTTTCTGGCAAATTCTACTATACTTATCCTAGGATACCCAGTAACCTAGGAATAAAAAGGCCTCTCTTTTTGGTATTGGGTAACTTTATAAGGAACCTAGGACTACAAAAAGGGAATAAGGGTACTACTGGGCATCCTAGTATCGTTGTATTTTTAACCGGGCAACCTAGGGAGTGCTTATCATTCAGATTCAGGTTTCTACCTCCGTGAGGAAGTATGGTAAAAGCCAGAAAGTTGGAATATGATTATCCTAAGCCCTTTATGGTAAATTATAGGGTATCCTACCCTGAAACCATATTCCAACTTTCTGGAGTTCCCTGTAGCCTGTTTCATGACCCGAGTTGTCGCGATCTTTGACCTCAACCGTTGGGTTTCGTGCGATTCCTGTCAAGTTCCGGGTTCATTATTGTTCAAATATTTGGCAGGAGGGCTCTCCGCAAGTGGCGGAGGAAGGCAGCTACTGTAATGTTCAGAGCTTATAATTTTGGGTTAGAAGCATTGGGTTTCGGTTATGACGATAATGCGGTTCCATTCACGAAGCCTCGAAAGTCCGACGTCGTTCGGTCTTGGGCAGAAGTTTGGGTGAGCCTATGTCCCGTCTTCCAAGTGGATTCTACTTATTTCAGCACACGGTCCCACAGACAGTGCTTCGGACTGGTCTCCAAAATCCAGCAATCGCACCAAATCGAGGCATCGTTGGGGTATGGTTTTCCTGTCAAACTCTCAAGAGCCAAGCCTGTTGTTATATTCCTGTAATGACAATAGCCGGAGCAAGAGTACCGTCTTCGCTGCCACAGGCCGCACACCAGCGAGCCTCAAACCCCATATTCCAGCCCGATCCCGTAGAAAATATGAAAAGCAATGGGCCTAGTCCAGGACGTGGACCTGCGAATTCCCCTCTGATCGCAGCGGCAGCCCCATCTCAGCTCAATGTTTTGCAAGAGTGCTAGGACCCTAAACCCTTTACTTAGACAGACCCTACACCCCGTCTTAAATATTCAGGCCTCCTTGTAATGAAACCCCGTGACCCTGACAAAGAACCCTGCTTAGCAAGCGCGAGGGATGCACAGACTGCTGCAGCAGACCAGACTGATTTCGGGAAAGTTCTGAGACCGGCGTATACGCAGATCGTGACGTGCCTGCAACTTATGCTTTGAAGACTACAACTCATCCGCTGATCATACACTCCCAATCGTGAACGTAGATATATCCACATATGTACACATACACACGCATAAATATATGTATACACATACTACTACAACCTAGTAAAACGATACTCTCTCTCTCTCTCTCTCTCTATGTGTATATATATATATATATATATATGTATATACATACACGTACTTACATATACACACGTTGTGTAGATAGAGGCACGCACATACACCCATCCATTGCATGCTGTTTCTACATCGATGTTCATTTGTGGACTTGAGAAACCAAGGTGAATGCTACTTGATACTGCTTGCACTCTGAGTTCTGGAGGAAGAGATACTGTTAGAGAGACAAATCCTGCATTGCCCTGTATACCTAAAGTACAGGAAATATAGTACCATACCATACTTAGGGTAATGCAGGATTTCGTCCATCCGCCGTAGGACAGACAACAGCAATCCGTTTCTTCCCGAGCCACTGTCTTGGACACGAGGTCCTGTCCGGAAGTGCGTCCTGGAGCGGGTTCGGGCACTTTAAGGCCTTACCCACAGGCTCCATAGTAGTTCCTTTTTGGGGTTACCTTATAGGATTCTATATATGAACCCCCAAAAGGAACTACGATGGAGCCCTAGAGTAAGGATGACTTCATGACGCTGAATTTAGGCATGCTGCCCCTCTGCTGCTCTTCTACTTATACTTTCACTCTACCTACCTATCCTAGAACGCCCGCAACCAAACTCCAAAAACTCAACAAAATCTGTGGCTCCGCGTGCAAACGGAGCCCAAAAAGAAAATGGAGCTGAACCTCTAAGGCATTACCAGCTAGAGTTTGACAGCGAATAGCAGCTGCCGGCCGTAAGTAAAGGTAACCTTATCGGTTCCGTCCAATCCCAAACACCAGGAAATAGGATAGGGGCCTTACTGATTGGAACAGTAGGGTTGGGAAACCTGACGATTTCTGTATCTCGGACTGCAGGGGGATGCCAATCAAAATTAGTCAGTCATATCAGGTTCGGAGCTAGCGTTCAGTGTAAGCTTCAGAGAGACTTGCCTCAGGGTTGCAAGCCCAAGCTAGAATTCTACTGTATCACACATGCTCCAGCATTCCCCTGATCGGGGAACACCCCTGGTAACTTCAAACGCAACCCAAAACCTATATCCCATCCCCGAAACCAGCAACAAGGGCATCAACTCCAACCGCATATCCTCCAGCAAGAGTCTAAATTCGATATGCAAGTGTGTATGTAGGGTTTAAGAGGCTTACGGATGAGGGGATTAGAGTTTAGGCGTTTGAAGGTTCGTTGAAGCTGAATTAGGGATTAAGGTTGCAGGATTGGGGTTAGGGTTTAGAGGGCTTATAAGGATTAGTTTCTAGGGTGAGGGGCTTGTTAGGGCTTAGGGTCGGCTTGGCACGCTGGCCTTGAACGAGACTTTGGCAAATGTCTTGGCTGCCAAGGTCCTCCACAAAGCAAGCAAAACAAGTCCCGGAGATTGATTAAGGGTTATACTGATTATACCTTGAACTATACGATTTTCGTATGATTTAAAGTAACTATATTTCTTCCTCAATTAAGGGAGTTTGGAGCTTCTCGATCTGCGCAAAGCCCAGATGCCTAACAACCACTCAGGCAGTAAGCGCTAAAACCGAACCCAAATGACACCAAGCCGTCGCTTCGTGAATTGAGGATCTGGGACACTATGGTATTGCTCGGGGGGCTGGGCGGGCTCGGGGTTGAAGTTTAGGGGGGGACCTACGGCATGTTGGGAAGCTAGTGATCTGCAGAACCTGACCGGGGAGTCCGTAAAGGACGCCTGCAATACAGTGGCATGATCGTTCATGTTGTTTTTAGCCCGGCATCATGAAACTTGGACCAGAAGTATTGACACCCGACATTCTACTAGGTAAGGCGATCATGATGATGATGACGATGATGATGGTCGACCATCACCGTTTTTCAGTTGTTGGGCACTTCCATTTTGGTTGCCACTAGCAGAAACCCTGCTGCAAGAACTATCAGTTGCACAGTGATTAGCAATAATCAAGCCGATTGAGGTTGGTACGATTATTATGACGATTGTTGATAGGGACTTTCATGACTGGAGCCTGCAGCCGTCGCGCCGCCGAAGGTCGCAGCAACAGTAGCTAGGCGGTGCGCATGTATCCGTAGTGGGAGTATCACGAAATACAGAAGCCAATCTGCCGTGACCACCATAACAAGAATCCCCGATATCGCAAGAGTAAGAGCAATGGTCATTCCCACCTGGCTCAGCGACTCGATTGCACGGCAGTAGTGGTCCATCTTGTGGCATTGGTTGAAGACTTGGTCCTGGTAGGATTTAGGGATGGATGAGGCAGTGAGATTTGGGAGTACTCTAAACAATTAAGGACCCCCAAATAAGGTACCCCTAATTTTCGGAAACTCCTATTTAAGATCGAGGGTGGTTGTTATTGGGAAGCGGAGTTCAGGGGTCAGGTTGCGATGGGACTCGGGGCTGTGAATACACATGGCACTTTTAAGAACAAGGGGTTTCCGAAAATTAAGGGTACCTTATTTTGGGGTCCCTAAAATAAGGATCACCGTATTTAGGGCCTTAGGGTACTGTCTTAGGGTCCCCTATTTTCGGAAACTCCCACAAGAACAATCTTGGAGCTCGCCACGAACACCACGAACACCAGACCCACGCCCACTCCTACTGCTGCTGCCTCTACCACTGCACTATAATATCACTACTGTACCACTGTACCACCACAACTATTTTTACGGCTATGTCTACCAGCACTTCTACCACCACCACCACCACCACCACCACCACCACCACCACCACCACCACCACCACCACCACCACCACCACCACCACCACCACCACCACCAAGACTACTGCTTCCAACTCTTACGCCTACTCCTACAACTTACTTAGGAGTCTCCGGGTAGACAGCTATGGGAACGATGTTGACCTACTTAGAGCACTAGTACTGCAATTCCCAAACCATCACGACCGTAGTGTTGTACATGAAGTGACAAAACTTGGAGGATACCAGGTGGGCTACGTTAACTGTGGACTGAATAATTACACTTACTGTAGTTGTAATGATCTGATAAACCCCTTCACCAACCCCAAACTCTAAACCCTACTGCAACCTGGAGCCCTAGGCCATCCTAAACACTAAAGCCCTATACTAAGTCCCGTTAGTCGTAGGGCAAAAGCAGAGTCCCTGACCCATCAATTGCTGGTAGCTACAGCGGGATCTGAAATATCCATACATCACCCAAGCCCATTAAGCTCCCTGAACCCCTAAAGCCCTAAACCCCCCTAACCTAAGCCCCCCTAATCCCCGAAAGACCACCTAAAACCCTTGAAACCTAAACCCCTTGAACCCCCGATCTCCCTGAGACCCCCTACATAAGCCTTAAACCCTAGAAGCCAGAAAGTTGGAATATCATTATCGTAACCCCTCTAAGGTAAATTATAGGGGATCCTACCCTGAAGCCATATTCCAACTTCCTGGAATTCCCTTTAAACCCTTATAACCCCTAATCCCCTGTATTAACGCCACCCAAAAAAGCCCTCAACAATTAGCACAGGGCCGTGGGACACATTCTACTATCATTTTAATAAGGACCCCCGCAATAGTATAGGTAATTATTTAAGCCCCTAAACCTTAAACATAAACCCTAGACTCCCTAAACCCGAAACCCTAAACTCCTAAACCCCCTAAACCCAAAAAAAACCCTAAACCCCTGCAATTAGGATCAGCCTCTAGCCCTAAAACCTTAAACCCTAGCCTTAGTCCCCTTGAACCCCTAAACCCCTTAAACCCTAGACCCCCAAAACCGTAAAAAAACCTAAACCCCTGTAACTAGTATTAGCCTCCTTGCGGGTATATTATACCATGGTGTTTATAAGGAGCCCCGCACAAAATAGTATTGGTAGTTTAGGCCCCTATATTGAAACCTATAATACCCCTTCATAGTAACCCTTATAGGCCCCTTTAAACGGAACCCCAAAGTAGTATATTAAACCCTATTTTTACAGGCCCTTATAGTATCCCTTAACCCTTAACCTGCAAGCCCCCGAACCCTAAGTCTCTGAACCCTAGACCCTACACCCCTAAAAACCTTAAACCCTAAACTCCCTAAACCCCCCTAAGCCATGGAATTACCCAAAGGGTCCAAGTAACTATACAGGGTAAGTACCCCATAACAGTACCTAGGACCCTTTGGGTTAGTATCCGTCTCCAAATTAGGTACCCCTAATTTTCGGATACTCTAAACCCTAAACCCTTTATAGAACCCGTATAGATCCCTTTAAAGGAACCCCCCAAAAAAAAGTTTCAGGGCCCTACTTGGAGGTTCATGGGTAGTTATAAGTGGGGTGAGACTCACCCCAACATCGGTTATAAGTATAGTTATCCGACTTATAACCCTCTTATAGCTACCCATGAACCTCCAACAGGCTTTCTGAGAGGTGGAAACGCCCAAAACCGTAAACCCTACAGATCCCTTATAGGAACCCTTATAGATCCCCTTTAAAGGAGGCCCTAAACTCCCAGATTATGAAGCTTCCCTATACTACTATTTGCTTAAGAACCCCCAAAAAATAAAAAATAGATTCCTTATGGGGGTAATATAGGGGTTATTATTTTTATTTTTGGGGGTTTCTTAAGCAAATAGTAGTATAGTAACCGCCTCGAGGTCGACGGCCAGAAGCCGCAGCTGCCGCGCTCGGGTCGCCTCTTCGGACTCCGAGCTCTGGCCGTGCTCCGCCCTGGCGGTGTCAGGGGTTCAATATACTACGGTTGATGATAGAAATCCTGCATGACCCTTAATAAGGAATATACCATAATTCCCATAGTTTAGGGTCCTTAAGGTCATGCAGGATTTATATCATCAACCGTATTTTGGGGGCTCCTTTAAAGGGATCTCTAAGGGCTATTATAAGGGATCTATTTAGGGTTTAGGGGTTCTTGGGGGCTTAGTGTTTAGATTTGATAAAGGTTCAGGGTTTATGGGGTTTATGGGGTTCAGGAGTTTCGGGGGTTCAGGGTTTATGGGGTTAGGGGTTTAGGGTTTGGGAGGGGTTGTGGGGGGTGGCAGGTTTGGGAGGGGTTAGGGGTTTCAGGGGTTAGGAGTTTGGGGTTTAGGGTTTGGGATGGTTTGGGGCTTTTAAGGTCAAAAGGGTTTAGGGGTTTAGGGTTTGGGATGGTTTGAGGTTTAAGGTTTTAAAGGGTTTAAAGGGTTTAAGGATTTCAGGGTTGAGGGGTTTAGGGGTTCAGGGGTTAAGGGTTTAGGGGGTTTGGGGTTTAAGGTTTAGAGTTTAAGGGTTCGGGGTTTATGGGTTTAGGGGTTTAGGATTTGGTGGTTTTGAAGCTTAAGGCTTGGAGTTTATAAGGGTTCAGGGTTTAGGGTTTGGGATGGTTGGGGGGTTTGCAGATTCAAGGTTTAGGGGTTTGGGGGTTTAGAGTTAGGAGATAACGGCTTGGGGTTTTAGGGTTTAGCGTTCAGGGGTTGGGGTTTGTGGGTTTGTGGGTTTGGGGTCTAGGGTTTAGAGTTCAGGGTTTAGGGCTTTGGGGATTTAGGAAGTTTGGGGTTTAGGCGTGTGGGGGCTTAGGGGTTCAGGGTTTAGGGTCTGTGGATTAAGTCCCTAAGGATCCATGTTCTCAAATAGGGTTCCGGTAAGGGGTGCCTTGAAGGGTTCTATAAAGGATGCCATAAAGGTCTGGGGCTCAAGGGCCCATACCCAAACAGTAGGGTTTAGGGTTTAGGGTTTAGGGTTTAGGGTTTAGGGTTTAGGGTTTAGGGTTTAGGGTATACTTGGCTCCAAAGTACCTCAGGCCATAGTACATACGGTCCTTTGTAACCACTTTCCCAATCCGGAGCTCTCCAAACAGCAAATGCCCACGAAGGCTTAAACTCTCAAGCAAGGCCAACCGTCCCTCATGACACTCTGATCCTAATCGTATTGAAAGTTTTCTGTTGCAAGAACGATCCCTAATCCCCAAACCCGCACACCCTAAACCACGACGATGAGTCTCAGCTCTCAGCCCTAAACGCCCTTAGTTTCCGGCAAACCCCTGCGACCTTGAGCTGCTCAAACAGGTGGGTGGTTGTCAAAATTATGGTCCCTTTCTGGGTCATTATTATGATACGGCACCTAATATTTAGGGTACCCCAAAAGGGACCCTAATTTTGACAACCACCCAGGTGAAACAGAGCAGTAAGAACAGCAGCAAAACACCGGCAAGACTAACGTCTGGGATTGTGTATGAACAGCAGCACGGTTTAGGGTTGTGGGTTTCGGGTTTAGGCACAGTCTACGACATCAAACATGAAAGGCAACAACAAAAGCCAGGACTCATTGCGCAAAGGCGGTAAACGAAGTAGCCCAGCCTGTACATGCTCCTCCAGCTCTTGATCAGAGAGGTTGCTGCATCACGCACCTAGGCAAGGCTTGCTAACAGCAACCTAAACTCAAAACGCCAACCCACCTCATGAACATTCCGAGATCTCCAGCTCGTATGTTATGCCAACGGTAAACCGGCAATGTGATCCAAACCATCGGTCTAAAGCCACATAACTATCGCAGTTGCTTTCAGCCCTCGCACGCAGCACAACACAACAGCTCTCTCATGACAACACCAAAGAAACCACGAGCCGAAAAAATGTTGACATGATAATGATAGCAACGGTGCTACTCATACTCAACCCACAACTGGAGCTCCAACACCAGTGGGATGGTTAGAAAAGACGAAATACATGGGAGTTTCCGAAAAAAGGGGAAACTAATATAGTATCCAAAATAGTAGGCTCCTTACTATAAGGACCCTAAAATAAGGTACCCCCAAGTTTCGGAAACTCCCACATGACAATGACATTGCTAAGGCAAGGGCCGGGGCGGCAGCCTTGCTGCCCCGCCAGCATGGCTTGTTGAGCTCCAGAGCGACCCTGAATTCAAAGGTCGCGTTTGCGACGTGGGCTTTTGCGAAGCTACGCAGTCTACCTACTCATACATGATGACTGTGCTCGCAACAGTCAAGAACCCAAATGTGTGTTTGAACAGCTATGCTTATACATACATACGTACGTAGGTACATACATACATACTTATGTGTATATATATATATACACATGCACAAATACACATCCTGTCCGCTCGCCACCCACTACCCTCCCTCCTGGCCCCCACGACCACCACCCCCTCCAGGGCTCAACGCTTGCAGGTCTCCGGATTCTTGGTTTAGGCCTCCGAATCACCAGTCTCTCCTCTTCCCAAACCTCTGTCAACAGCAGAATTCCCGTGCAGCGGATGGCACGAAAAGTCTCACGCTGCCTCCAGCTTGTGACATTCTATGTTTGAGGGTATGAGGGTTGTTCCAAATAAGGGTCGCTGTAGGATCGCTATCGAATACACCGTCATGAAGACATGCACGCTGAGTGACAGCACAAACAGCACAAACGAGCTTTCTTGACTGAGACCCTACAACCCTAAGCCAACAAAAAACACGTGCCATAGTGTCCCAAAGCATAAACCCAAAACCTAAACGCTAAACGCAAGAAGATGAGGGCTTCTATCCCAAGAACCCGCGTCCTTAACGAAGGCAGGGCACCGGGTAGCTTTCAAACAGTCTGTTGTGATGTTCAGCCGCCGAAGCCTGGGTGAGCTCAGGTGTGCTTAATGTAACCAGGGGCCTTAATACGGTTTAGGGTTTAGAGTGTGGGGTTTACGGTAATATAGGGACCCAAAAGAGCACCTAAACACAAACCACAAGGTTGGGATATCCCACCCAAACGTTTACGATTGGCTCCTGTTAAGTGCCATGTATCATACCAGAATCCAGAACTGTATTGAACTTATGAACCACAACTGTGCTAATTCTGAAGACCCCAATGTTGTGCCTTTCGGGAGTACGGCTCATAGCTTCAAGTTTTGGCTTCAGGATCACTGTCTCTCAGTCTTGAGCTGGACTGAGCCGAGGCACCTCAACATTGAACAACCTGCAGTTTAAGGGGACCTAAACCCTAAACCCTAAACCCTAAACCCTAAACCCTAAACCCTAAACCCTAAACCCTTTAGGGGGCTGGGCGAAACCTTAGAGCCCTAGAGCCAAAAGTCAACGCCGGGTGTCTGTCGGAAGATGGCGAGAACGGCTGTGTCACTTTCGGGCTGCCCCGCCACCTGCTTTGCTCTTCGTCTGTAGCCCTAACCCTAATTACCCCCATAGGCTCCATAGTAGCTCATTCTTGGGATTATCTCAAAGGATTCTAAATATGAACCACAGAAAAGGAACCACTATGGAGCCTCTAGCTACCCTAAACCTTGTATGAATCTCAAACCCTATGCCCTACAACGCGAATCTTCCACCCTGGGCGCTCTGAAAAGCTCGCTGAGAATTTTCTTGGCGATCTATCCGATTCCCCGACAATCTGTGTGCAAAGCACCTTAGCCCCAAACCCCAAACTAAAGCCCAAGCTCCGTAAACCCATAGCGCCCATTGATTAAGCGCACATACAACCGCACAAACAGCACAAAGCTACATGCAGCCGCATAGAGCCTCGCCAAACCCTAAAAAACGCTGCAGGGACTCTTGATTAAGGGAATCCTTGAAAGCAACCAAAGACTCACTGGCCCAAAACCCAAGGAAATAAAAGTCGAAATTTTCAGAATCGACTACCGTATAAGAACCCCAAAAAGTTGAAAAGTTGAGTTAACGGCCAATAAGAAGACGAGCCTGCTCTAGGTCACGGAGCGGTGTGAGGAGTGCCAGGACGTTTTTGCCTTGGCTCAAGAAGGGGGGTTCTGAGTCTACTACTATAGTACTAAATAATACTACTGTTACTACTACTTCACTGGCACTACTACTACTACTGCTGCTACTACTACTACTACTACTACTTCTACTACTACTACTAGCGTGTAAGCGTACAGGCTTTGGGCTGGGATTTGCGGGAGCAGACAGTTCTGAACAGCAGACGATTTGCAGTGAGTTCAAGAGTGGGTGGGGGCTGTGCATGTTGGAAGGACAGGCTACATCTACGGCAACCATGCATCCAAAGATACGAACCCCACACCATGCGATCTGTCTGCATCTCTCCCTATGGCCGTTTCAAAGGCCAGACGGCCAAACGAAACGATGGATCGACATAGCAGAGATGCCGCAAGCCGAAGAATTCTCATGACGTCGCCCTAAACCACTAAACCCTAAACCTATTTAACCCCTAAACCCTAAACCTTTAACCGCTAAATCCGAAACCGTGGCCCTGGTCTTGTAGAGCGGATGGGCAGGTTCTCAGTTCTGGGCATAGGGGTTTACCTTAACCCGGAATAACCTACGTTTTTCAGGACCTATATAAGGAAATCATAATAAGGAACCCTAAAGAGGTAGGTTCTTCAGGGTTAAGGGAGGGTTTAGGGTGAAGCTCACAGATTCTTCGGTCGAGTTGCGAAGCTCAGCCTCTGCAGCATGCATCGCCTGCTGCAAAGAAAGCTTTAATCAAACGGGAAAAGGATATATTGGGCTATAATGGGTGTGTATATATATATATATATATATATATTAAGGGTATATGCCTAACGAAAACTTTAAAGTTTGCCCTAGAACACTGAGAGTTTATGTGACAAGGAGATTAGGTTGGAGTTGGGGCTCCCTTCGACACGCCATAGTAGTTCTTTTTGCTCGGGTACCTTGTTCGGCCCCGACATCAACATCATCGTCACATTCTTCTTCGCTGCCGTGGACGTAGACATCATCAAGGTTATCACCGTCCTCATCAACATCGTGATCGCAACAACAAGACGACCATTGCAGGTGTACAGCTTCTTGGTCCCGAAGATACAAGGGACAGACCGCCAATGAGACTATTCAACAAAATCGTACTGACAAGAATCGTCATCCCGATTAGTCGCGGCAATCTTTAAAAATCTAACCAATGTCGGAAATCATGGAAGAGGCCAGGGGCCTTGTGTGCAGATAAACACTGATTCCTAGGATGCGTAAGTAAGGCACACACCTAAGGAAACCTTCACATGGGTCTAGAAGTCTGCCCGCTTCCGGGTTCGGAAGATCAGGTTCATAGTGCCCATATAGCTTTGATGCCGTTTAGTAGTATTCCCTACAGTCTCCGTGGTAACAATACCCTCATAGTCCATGCTACTATGTCCCCCATTTCGTATTTGTACCCTTATAGCACCCTGAATACTCTTACATCCCCCATCCTACTTGGACCTACTTCCTAGGTTCGTCGACCCTCCAAGTAATACTGCTCCGCAGAGTCTCCCGATTGTAAACAATAACCCTTCGGGGTTACGAAGGGTCAGACCTCAGCGATCTTCTTTATGGGGACTATTATTGGGGGTTACAGTAGGGACTACTATAGGGATCCATTCCCCCATTCCCCAGACCTTCCAAAATCCCTACTGAATGAAGGAATATACCTTAAATCATATTGGGGATCCTACTATGATTTAAGGTATATTCCTTAATTAAAGGATTTTGGAATGTCTGGGTCCCTCCTACTTGGAGGGTCGGGGGACTTAGTAAGTAGGTAGTAAGTAGACTTATAAGTACCCTAAAAGGGACCCTAATTGGGGTTATGGTACTTATAAGTCCCTCAAATAACCAGTTACTAAGTCCCCCGACCCTCCAAGTAAGAGCCAGACAGCTTCAGGGTTCCGAAGGGTCGGACCTTAGCGATCTTCTGGTCATCCTCATTGCCAGCAGGTAAGGCCTCGAGCTTTGCTGGGGGAGCTTTAAGGTCCCAGGTTCAGGGCCTTCGGGTTTTTGCCGTTTAAGCTTTAGGGTTGAAGGTTTAGGGTTTAGGGTTCAGGGACTGTGGGTCTTTGCGGTTTAAGGTCTAAGGTCTAGGGTTTAGGCGTTAAGATACTTCAGGGTTCGGGCCTTAAAGTCTGAGGCTAGGGTTTATGGGGCTTCAAGCTTTGGTTGATGGTGTGGTTCGAGGTTCCGCGAGCGAGTGCTTAGGGCTGCGCCGGCGAGGTTTTACGGGGTAGTCTGAAGCATGGGTGTTACAGGGATTTGTCTAAGTTTGATGATGCAGGGATTTCGAGCATCTAGGGTTCAACGGTTACGGCCTGGGAGCAAGCAAAAGCCTCTTGTTTGTTGTCCCTACAAGTACAACGGCAGCTTCATCGGGGATTCTAACACATGATGCATCATCGACAAACCAGCCGCGTCCACAAAGGTTGCAGTCGCGGGATTGACGACAATACAAGGGATCTTCAATTGCTGAGCGAAAGCCCTAGCATGAGACGTCTTGCCAGTGCCTACCGGGCCTGTGAACAGCAAGAAAGCAACTCGCTGTCTAGTTTCAAACCTCATGTTCTTTTCCACGTGTCGCCAGTGTCTCCACGTCATGGCACATAGTGTCTGCAACATGCGCTGTTGGGGTTCCATTCCGACCAACTCCTCAAATGGATTCGCGCTTCCGCCTTGCTTTGCTTCAATAACCCGGAACTTGCCAGGTGGAGGCGCATCTTTCACGACAGGCTGCATAGTCTCTGCTTTAATTGATTCCCACCCAAGCCCACGGCCAATCATGGTGTTTGCGACGTAGCTTGAAACGTTTGCAAGAACGTCCTTTAACCATGACCACATGCGACGAAAACAAAATCTCCAGCTGTTTCTAGTATCCTGAGCCTGCGCATAAAAAGCATGCGTCGCAGTGCGACGGGATGGGACAGGCTTTAGGCCTGAGGATTTACTGCAAAAGATTTGAGTGTAGGGCTTTGGGCTTTAGGGGGTCCGGGTTTTAACAGTTTAAGTTAGGCGCATCTAGGTTTGGCTATTGTTTTCTTGGGGGGTGCTTCGTGTTTTGGTGTTTTGGGAAATTGAAATCTTAGGCGGGTCGGGAATGACTTGGACACCTTGGAGGGGGAGATAGTGAGGTGTGAAATGCGGGGTTAGCAGTCGCTTGTTCTGGGACCTGTGAAACATTCCACACACAACGACCTGGATCCTTTTCATCATCTTCACTGCTCCTGTTGTTGTAAACTTGCTATTATTTGATTAATATGAACAACATGGCAAGCCTCATCACAATCATCATCATCATCATCATCATCATCATATACAACATCCCCATCGTCACGCTCACCATCACCGATGTCATCTTTCTCATCATTGCTGCGATGTCAAAGGCAATGATTACTACATTATCATATCAGTCTTGCTGCTCTCCTTCGCTCTTGAACCCCACACCACCAAAACTACACAGTCTCGAGGACCAAACAGCCGGACCGAAACAGGCCCGACCGGGCCTTTCGCTTCTTCGATGTGGTTGGCAGAGCCCCAGCGCTTTCCTGCAAACAAGGCTCTGCCTGGATCCCGGTCTATGGGAGCGTGTCAGTATAACTTTTAGGGTTTATGGCTTCTACGAGGGCTTGCAGCTTAGGTTTGATGACTCAGCGTTGGACTTGCGACCGTCTCTTTCGCTTGCCTTGCTGTCCTGTTTTCGGCGCTTAGCTATACAGTGGGCTTTTCAGAAAGACGTACTGCATTCTAAAGGCGTGGGCAGTGCATGGCAGCTGGACTTTTCAGCTAGCGCATTGCGCGGGCTTCGGTGTTTCGGAATTCAAGGTTTCGGGCTTTGAGTAGTGGAGCATTTCGCGATATCAAGGGTTTCCCTACGCATGCTCCTTCGACTTTCGTGCTGGAAAGATTTTTGCACTCCACCTCGCGGTCCAAGGAGAAGTTGAGGCGGCACGCATGTATTCAAAACGAGGCAGCACGCACTTTTTTGACGAATGCTCCGTGATTTTGTGGCTTAAATAAGTTTTGGCTTTATCTAAAGTTACTGCAATCCACCTCACTTTGTGTGCTACAGAGGCAGCACGCAAAAACCTTTGGAGCACGCAGTGCGAGGCAGCATGCGGAAACCCTTAAAAATAAGGCTTCCGATACGGCTGAAAAAACCAAAGGTTTCTTTCGCGAATTTCGGGGAGTCAATGCAACTTTGGGATCTGAGACTTTGCAAACTCCGTTGGAGACAGGCTTGTAGTCACGGCTAAAACCCCTGAACCTTAAATCCCAAAATCCCTAAACGCCCTAAACGCCAAGCCCTAAAACCCAAAACCCCAAATCCCGAACCTTGACCCCCCGAACCCTAAACCCCCTAAACCCCCTAAATCCCAAAATCCGCAAACCCCTAAACGCCAGGCTGGCCTGCAGGATCTTCTCCAGTCGGGAGATGCCCTGCGCAGAAATCATGAACCCATGTGGTCCTAAGTCCCTAACGGCTTATAGGGCTTAGGGGCTCCTTTTTGTTTAAAGTTGAGTTGACTTTTACGTCTGCCGACAGTCGGTTTAGGTGTTCAGGGTTTAGGGCTTATGGGTTTAGGGTCTGCGGGTGTTGGGCTTAGAGTCTTCAATCCTACATCTGGGTAGCTCTCTAAAGTCAGGTCCCTTTGTCGGTCCCGCAGGGACCTTAATTTGGAGCACTACCCACATAGCAATGCGAATTTAAGATTTCTATATATGAGGTTTTGCGGTTATGGTTTGTGCAAGTATCCGGCATAAAGCGATTAGGACCCTTTGGGGAAGGCAGCTGACTGCAAAGTTGGAGAGCCCTCGCCCCGTGTTTAGGGTCTAGGGCTGAGGGTTTTAGGGTCTAGGGCTTAAGCATTCCTACAGTACGACCTTAATTACTGAGGACTGTAAGATGATTGTAAATGGTAACTTACGGTATATTTCTTAAGAAAGGGTTGCGGAGTCTCTGGGCAGCTGCCCGCAAGCAGCCACAAGATACGACGCTGGCCGTACCGCTCTTCAACCTCATCCCGACCCCAAATTAGCCTGGCCTTCTTTACTTTTAAGGTAAAAGCCAGAAAGCTGGAATATCATTATCGTAACCCCTTTAAGGTAAGTTATAGGGGATCCTACCATTAATCCATATTCCAACTTTCTTGAGTTCCCTTTAGATGCTGGCTTTGACGGCTTTGCGTGGTATAACCGGGTTCAGCAGAAAAGTGCCTGGGAGACTGTGGTCAAGGCATCCGGGTTCAGAGTTCACAGAGCTTGCCTAGGCCGTTTGGATTTTAGAGCTGAGTTTGGTATTTCCGATGTTGGTTTTGAAGGGATATGTTGAGCAAAACAATATGGGTTACACCTCTCACCCACAAAACTTAACTGGGATGGAGACTCCAACGCCCTGCATTCAGCAATGCGCCTTGCTATCCAGAGGGGTCCGTGATACGGCTTAAGGCTTAAAGCAACTAATTGGTTTTCGACTCTGCGAATGCACATGGGTGGTTGTCAAAATTAGAGTCCCTTTTGGGGTCCCTAATATAGTACCGCACCTAATATTTAGGATACCCCAAAAAGGAGCCATAATATTGACAACCACCCATATGCAATCCCAACCTCGCCTCTGCACGGCCTCTGTCTGTGACCTCCTTCACGGAGTTCTGCCGGAAGCTAAAGTCCTTCGTTCACATTGCGCGGGCCCGAGCTACAGGGTTTGGGGTTTAGGCGGGCAAAAAGGTTTGTCAGGGTTTAAGGGATACAAGGTTTGGCGAAGGAGCCCGCACTGGCAATAGGTGAAGGCAAACGGACGGCAGTGCAGGCGCTAAATCGCATAACAAGCTCCGCACCAGTGAAGCTAGATCTTCTGATCTGCTAGCGCCACGGATTTTGTTGCTTCAAGGGTTCAGCTCGGCACCCCTAGCTCTTGCAAGAGCATCATCTCTGCCGGTGTTGCCGGCTCCATGTAGAGGGCTCTGAAGGGTTCATACCGACAGGAAAACGAAGCCGGAAGAGCGATCGATACGCCACGGAATTTGTCGAAGTTGTCATCGTAATTGTCCCGATTGACACGGCCATATAGATCATGATTTAGATCTCACTCGGGTGGAAATGATTCATGTCAGCTGCTCAACCTGGCTAAAGGACAAGCGACCATCCAAATCAGCCGGAGTTGCATAGGCGGCGGCACCCGGATTCGGGTCCAGCGGAACCGCGTCGATTGGAGGTGCCACAGGGGCTCTTAACAGATCGGCCCCACCACCACTTGCAATCGGAACACCTTCGCCGCGAATAGGCGCATAATATGGCGCTGCTTGGTGAAAGTCGCGCTATCACTTCAGCTCCTCAGAGCATGAGGATGATTGGAGCCGATGCACATACTATAGCCAGAGATATAGCTACAGTAGCTATACGGTACCATAATGCATGCATGCACTCGTACATACATACGGTGGCACTAAAGTAGCCGTATAGTGACTATTTTAAGGCCAAAGCATATACTAGAACAGTACTTGGACCTACATGGCTTCAAGCCTTACGAAAGCCCTGGACCTAGCGCTAGCACCTGAAGGGTCGCAGTTCAGGGTCGCACGGGGTCGAGGATGGTGGTTTCGGCCTTCTTTAGGGCCATAAGATGGAGTCATAGGGCATCTACAGGTTTAAGTCTGTTGGAGCAAGACTGCGAATTTCAAGCCCCTCAACCCTAGGTTACAAACAATTGAAACTTCCTCCCCAAAGGCCCGAAAGCCCCATACAACCAGAAGAAGCTGAAGCATGAAGAAGACGTCGAGTTGAGCCCTCCAGGGAGTTTTGAGTTGATTGAAGCCTCAATGACAACGAACCTCAAATTCTCGACAAACCCTAAATCCTACCCCCCCACAAAAAAATCACAAATCTCAAGGTTGAGGGTGAAGCGTTCCAGTGTTATAGGGATTAGGGGGATCGAAAACCTAAAGCCTAAAACTCATCAAATCGCACGGAAAATAAACCCTGAGCCTTAAGTCAAAAGCCTCAAGCGTTGACCTACAGGTGAAGCCATTTATAGGAATACCACTCCATCGGCGTCCATGCTATGAATATGCCAGAACCCTATTCTAATTCTAGCTAGTCAGACCTCTATGTAAGATTTTGCACGTATCCAGCAAGAACCGGTCCTCCTCCTGGTTGACAGAGCCCAATGCCTTGTCTTTACAGCAAAAGACTAGGTGTTGGTGGTCTGGAGGGGCTAGGCGAGTAGATGGATTTAGGTCCAGGCTTAGGGTTTAGGCTTTAGGAGGGTTTGGGGTTTAGGCTTGTGGAACAGATGTCAAGGTTCCATGGTCTGGGCCTTTCCGGAGGGTTAAGGGTTTAGTCCGTGTCTTGAGCTGGTGGGCTTGAGGCTTTCGCAGCAAGGTCTGTGTCAGGGCGTACGACTGAGGGTATAACCTGGAGGGTGGAGGGTCAAGGATGGAATTGGGGGCCAGCTTCCGTCAACGATCCAGTCTGTGACACATTGGCAGGTTCGGCTGAATAGGCTGGGATGGTCAGCATCACAAGCCATGAACATCACCATCCCTGAATGCTCTGCAGCCGTTGCAAGTTCTGCTGGATGGTCCGATTTTTGCAAAGCCAGGACATTGAGCATACAGAAACAAACATACGTCTGAGAAGGTTTCGTTGATTTTTTGCGAAGCCCAATACCCTAAACCCAAACCCTGATCCCAAGACACTTCCAATCAAGTTGGGTGTTGAAGGCCATTCACCACGATGCGGCGAGTAGCCCTGGAACAAAAATGACAACACAACCACTTTTCTGTGGACACTTTAAGCCGGCGATGTAGGCTACAGATGATAGTTAACCTGCAAGGCTTGCATTATTCCTCTCGAAACCTCCACCTGTATATCGTAAACCCTCAACCATACCCTGCATGTCCCCGCTGGTCAGCCCCTAACCCTCATCCCCAAATTGCCAAACCGTAAACCACGAAGCCCTAAACCCAACCCCTAAACCATCAACCGACTCGAAACGACTAAACCCAAAGCCCTAAACCCTATCCCGAAACCTAAACCCCTAAGCTCCGAACCCCAAACCCCTCAACCCTAAACCCTTTTGCCCTAAACCCCAAGCGCCAAGACCTCAGCCCTAAACACTGAACCCCACAACCTCAACCCCCAAAACCTAAACCCCAAACCCAAACCTAAACCCTTAGCCCCATAAACCCCAAAACCCTAAACCCCTTAGCCCCATAAACCCCAAAACCCCTTAGCCCCATAAATCCCAAACCCTAAATCCCTTAGAACCATAACCCCCAAACCCCTAAACCCCATAAACTCTAAACCCCAAAGCTCTAAACTCAGCCATCCTAAACTCTAAACCCTACACCCTACACCCCTTAACCCTAAACCCCATAAACTCTAAACCCCAAAGCTCTAAACTCAGCCATCCTAAACCCTACACCCTGAACCCCTAAACCCTAAACCCCTAAACCCTAAACCCCCAAACCCCCAAACCCTAAACCCCAAAGCTCTAAACCCCAAAGCTCCGCAGCCGAAGATGCGTTTAGCTGGGCCTTAAAGCTCCAGGCGCCATCAAGCTGGACCTTGCCGCCAGCCTTCGAGGATGAGGGCTTTAAACCCTAAACCCTAAACCCTAAAACCCTAAAACCCTAAAACCCTAAACCCTAGTAACTTTAGGGTTTCGTAGGGGTTTTGGGGTTTAGGGTTTAAATGGGGTTTAATAGGGGTTTCACAGGGTTTACTAGGGGTTTAATGGAGTTTAATAGGGGTTTACGGTTTAATAAGGGTTCAGGGTAACTTTAGGGTTTAATAGGGGTTTAGGGGTTTCGGGTTTGAATGGGGTATATAGGCTTTAGGGGTTTAGGGTATAGGGTTTAGGGGTTTAGGGTTTAAATGGGGTTTAATAGGGGTTTCACAGGGTTTACTAGGGGTTTAATGGAGTTTAATAGGGGTTTAGGGTTTAATAAGGGTTCAGGGTAACTTTAGGGTTTAATAGGGGTTTAGGGGTTTCGGGTTTAAATGGGGTATATAGGCCCTAATATAGGCTTTTGGGGTTTAGGGTTTAGGGCATAGGGTTTAGGGGTTTAGGGTTGAGAGTTTAGGGTATAGGGTTTAGAGGTTTAGGGTTTAGTGCATATATATATATATATATATATATATATAGGGTATGGGGTTGAGAGTAGAGTGTTTAGGATGAGGAGCTTCGTCGGGTCTTTGTTTACAGTTTACGGTGTAGGATGGTTAGTTTATGGTTCATGATGTTTAGGGTTTTTTTCAATAGTTTACGCCTGGAGTTTGAGGTGTTAAGGTTAAGGTATCTGGGGTTTCGGTCTTGCCTTGGGTTTCTGTTTAAGGACATAGGATCTAGCTGCTCTTCTTCGTTTGGCGTTTAGCAATGAGTAAGGCCTGAGGAAGTTGTAAGAACAGAGCCGTAGGACATCATAGAGGGCTGTATGTGCGGGAGATTACGGTTGATGATATAAAGGGGTCCCTTTAAAGGGATCTGTAAGGGTACCTTTAAGGGGCTCCTTTAAGGGATCTATAGGGCTTTAGGGTTTAGGGGTTAGGGATATAAATCCTGTATGACCCATAATGAGGCATACACTATAATTTCCATAGTCTAGGGTCCTTGAGGTAATGCAGGATTTATATCATCAGTCGTTAGAGCTCACGACTTCCCGTGTTCAGTGTTTCAGCCTCCAAGCTTCGAATTGTGATTTTAAGGGGCCAAAGAGTCATCTCAGCTGCTCGCTACAACAATCCCTTAAAGGGAACTCCAGAAAGTTGGAATATGGAATAATGGTAGGATCCCCTATAATTTACCTTAAAGGGGTTACGATAATGATATTCCAACTTTCTGGCTTCTACTGTAGATCGAGCCGCCTGTTTACTGTGGGATACAGATCGCGGGACAACCCGTGGACAATCTTGTCTGAGTACTGATGTTACTAAACATGTTGATGGGGACCACTGCGGACATAGGGCCATACTGTAAGAGGTGCAGCCACAACACAACCATATGAAAGCCAAGCTCCAAGTATCATGCAGAAAACAAGGTTAGGTGCTAAGGCACACCAGCGAGGATTCCCATCGTGACACCCGTATACTGTCATTGCAGAGGAACCTCTACCCCCGTCGCGAGAAGTTCCGGGATCCAAGTTGAAGGGTTCATCTCACTTAAGGGCCCTTGTTGGTGGTGTATGACCGCGTGAGCCGAAGTTACGTCGTCTTACGGAGCCGGAAACCCTGAAACAAAGAACTGTAGTCGCTAGACCATGTCATTTCTTCATAGCTGCCCGGCAGCCCATCCTGAAGAATCCAAGTCTCAGTAACGTAGCTACTTAGTACATAGCTGTGCCCCCAAAGTATATACTATACGACTACCTAGAGGCTCCATAGTAGTTCCTTTTTTGGGGGTTGGCATTTAGAATCCTATAAGGTAATCCCAAAAAGGAACTACTTTGGAGCCTATTTGTATATTATTCTAGACCCAAGAGAAGCCTAGGAATAAAAAGGGTGCCCTTTTTTGGCTTAAAGGGGTTTATAAGGGAACCCAAACCCTAAAAAAGGGAATAAGGGCCTATTCTGGGTCCTAGTATTTCTGGGACCCTCATGGCCCTCCAATCCTGTCATTGCGCAGGTCCTACTTGGAGGATCAGAGGTCCCTTTAAGGGAATCTATAGGGGTACTAAAAGGATTCAGGGTTTAGGGTCTACTTAAAGGATCATGGGACTTAGTAACTGGGGTTATTACTAGGGTAACTACACTTATAGTTACTTATAACAACAATTAAGGTACTTCTAACCATACTTACTAAGTCCCATGATCCTTTAAGTACGGTAGGGTTCGGGGCTCCGGGAGGTCCAGCCCTCAAGCTGCGAGGCCTCGCGACACATCCCACCACCGCATTTGCCCATGGCTTCGCTGTTATTTGCTGCTTCCTTTTAGGGTCCGAGTGCCCAATAATCGGGTACTTGATTTCGGGATACCAGTAATAATACATCTGTATAGGTTCGTGGGCTGGAACCTACGTGTGTATTAGGTGTTTGGACCCTTGACATGAGGCGTGTGAAGCTCTCAAGGTGACAACAAGTGCCAGCGATGCGCAGTAGACGACTGAAAGAGGCTTGGGTGCTTGCCGCACCGCGCATACTTTAGGGTCCTGGGTGGGATGACTCCAGCGCAAGTTGATTCCTACTGGACGACTGTCGCTCTGGCTGTCTCAAGCCGAAGTGCATCGGAGTAGTTTCTAGGCTGTTCAGTAACCCACTGGGAAAAAGTATATACTTTTTTAGGCTTATTATTTTGTAATAGGAACCCAGAAACCTGAAAGTAAAACAGTGCACCACTGAACAGCCTGGGTTTGAACTCAAGACGAAGGTACGGGCTCTTAGTATTCGGTACACGGTACCTCAGGGTGCTCCCCTGCGTCCTGAAGCTGCTACACTCCAGAGTTCTCCCAACCCCTCATTTGGATTACCCTACTACGTACTGTAGCAGCCCACCCCTTCTTGGCCAAAAACTACTAACAAAAGAACCACAAGAAGACAAGACGCTTCAACAGTTCGCAATGCGCTTCCTGTGTAATCCCGGGACGCATGATCTTGGGGACCTTGGTTCTGTACTTGGAGGGTCGGGGGACTTAGTAAGTAGGTAGTAAGTAGACTTATAAGTACCCTAAAAGGGACCCTAATTGGGGTTATGGTACTTATAAGTCCCTCAAATAACCAGTTACTAAGTCCCCCGACCCTCCAAGTAGAGGCCAGAACCAGGGCAGATTGTTACCAACTATGCAGGCCCCTTTATGTGTATATAGACAAATCCGTGCACCCTGCCGGTGCCGACAGCCTCGGACCCAGAAGAAACCTAAGGTAGGCATACAAAAAGGGTGCCCTTTTTGGTTTAAAGGGTGTTACTATGAGGGAACCTAAACCCTTAAAAAGGGGAATAACGGCCTACTATGGGTCCTACTGCTGATGGACAAAATCCTGCATTACCCTTTCTTAGGAATATACCATAATTCCCATAGTTTAGGGTCCTTAAGGTCATGCAGGATTTATATCATCAACCGTAGAACCCGAGTTTGGGTCTGAATCCGACATGGAATCGACAGGTTAACGCCACCCGTTGTTCCTGTCCGCGGAGCTCCCCTAATAGATGGGCTTTAATAATTGGAATAGGGTTTTGGGGCCCATTATAATATATCGCTCCCCTAATAGATGGGCCTTAACGATTTTTGGAATAGGGTTTTGGGGCCCATTATTCTATAGTTGTATCGAGGCACCCAAGATAGTACAGGTAATTCTTTAGGCCCCTACATTATACGAACCGTAGATCCTACCTTAACCTACCAAAACCTACTTTTGGTAGGGACCCCAAAAATTCCTATAGCTTTAACAGCCCTAAGCCCAGCTGACCCAAACGTCCCAACTCGAAGCCCGCAGCTCCCATAAGGACCCCTGACTTTTGTTCCTAAGCTCAAAACCCCAAGGCCACCTACTTTTGATCCGAAACTCTAGATGCAAAGCCCCCTAAACCCTAAACCCTAAACCCTAAACCCTAAACCCTAAACCCTAAACCCTAAACCCTAAACCCAACCCTAGACCCCAGGACTCCTAAACCCCGAGCAAAAAAACCCCTTAACCCCCCAAATCCCATAAGCCCTAGGCCCTATAAACCTAACCCTAAACCCTAAACCCTAAACCCCCAAACCCTATAACCCCCCAAATCCCAGAAGAAGCCCTCTGACCCTTGGACTCCAGGCGCTCAGGAGGTTGACCAGCTCCTGCGTCGAAAACTTCTGCAGGCCTCCGATCTTCACGGGACGGTTTGAGATCAGGGTTCAGGGCGTCGGCTCCGCATAGGTCCTACAATCCGAATTGCTGGAACGACCCCTTAATGTCATCACGAATCGGAAGCGGTTCTCCTCAATCGGTAAGAGGGTACCTTCCTAGGGGCCTCGAGGTTATTATAACAGGGGCTTGGACTTAGTTCAAGGTAGGGTTCTTCATTTTTGCAAACTCCCAAAAGCACCAAACCCCGATCTCAAGGGTTCTTATAACGAGGGTTTCGACTTTATTCAGGATAGGGTTCCTTCTCTTCACAAACTCAAAAAAAGCACCAAACCCTGGTGATTGTCTGCATCTTTGGGCCAGAAAGGACCATCAAATCGGGGTGTCTATATACGGACGTGTGTACGCGTGTATGTATGTATGTATATCTAAACATGTGTGTATATATATATATAAACATACCTACCTGCCTACCTGCCTACCTCCATACATACATACACCTGCACATATATGCATGGTCCCCAATCGTAGATGTTTAGGGGCTGGTAGAAGGTAGGAGGGTCTAGGAGGCTCGGTCTTGATTCGCACCAGCGAGTTTACAGAACAAATCCATGGGGTCGAGCCTTGTCCACCCGGCGGGGCCTTTGTGGTTAAAGAATGGAGAGCTGGGGGATTGTCGCGCGCGAGATGACTCGTGATGACAGAAGGCGTTGTCGGAGAGAGCGAGAGGTAGATTCAGATGGAGATGGAGAAAGAACAAACACGCACCTCTACTACGGATTTGGGATTCGAATACTCAGTGAGTTGGAATACCAGGCCTCCCACTTCGTTGAGATGTTTGGCAACTGCCGTAAGCAGAGGAGGCGCCTGGAACCAAAGTGCTTGTCATATCAGCGAAAGTTGTTCTATTTCTAACAAGGTGATAGCTGTCATAATGCCAATAGTCTTAGTCATGGTGTCAAAGATAATCCGGTAGTATACAACAGTATAATAACGGCAACAATGGTAGCGATGTTGGCAGCACTATATCTATCATGGTACTAAGTATGATCATGCAAGTAAGAGCAAGAACAACAATGACAATAATCCGTTATGTGCGCATCGCCCCCTGTCGTGTTGGCTAGGCTCCGGATTGAGGTCACCGGGATTCAAGCGTGCGTGTTTCAGATGAGCTGCTCCGTTCAGTGAACTGCCTCAGCTCAATGAAATGCCTAGAAGACTCGAGCACATGTAGCACGAGAAACCAGTACAGGTCTTTGTCTATGTATACTGCATGCACTTTCACACACACACACACATCCATACACATATCCACACACAGACATACAAACATTCACATACATCTCGACATACGTATATGCATACTTACATTACTTACATTCGTATTTCGCATTTCCGGGCGTAGAGTCCTGGGCATTACTTACATACACACATACCGGCAGGCCGTCTTTTGTCCACATGTGTGGTATCAAAAACTTCCGAGCTCGGGCCTAGGGCTTAAGGACTCCAAGGGGCATCCGGTTTAGGGGTTAGGGATTAGGGTTTAGGGTTGAGGGGTTAGGGTTTAGGGGTTTTGGGCAGCTGTGCCTAGAGGGTCATACCCTACCCCTTTTTTAGGGTACCTAATTTTATGGTTAGGATCTCCTATATAGAAAAGTAGGTACCTTAAACAAAGGTGTAGGGTATGAGCCTATAGGTAGCGTTTAGGGTTTAGAGTTTTGGGCTAAGGTTTTCGGCTAAGGCTGTGATGATATGTGGGAGCTTCAGAGTCTGGGGTTCAGGGTTCGGGTTTTAGGGTTTATGCTGGGGGATTCAGGTTAGGGTTTAGGGTTTATGGTAGAGGGTTTAGCTTAGGGTTTCGGGTTTGGGGATTATGGTGATTATGGTGTTCCTACCCCTGAACATGAAGCTTCAGAAGCACCCTCAGCCCCAAATCCTTTCCTGCCTTATCTTCTTTTCCGTAGAATGCTGTGAGCCCGAGGCTCCCGAACACCTCAGCGCCCTCGATCACAAACATTTAACATAGTGGCCTTCTTAGTTAGAACAGGGTTTAGGGGTATATCTTAGTTCGAACAGGGTTTAGGGGTATATCTTAGTTAGAATAGGGTTTAGGGGTATACTCTACCATATTTACAATACCTTTAATACCAAGCCCCCGCAATAGTCATTAGTAATCGTTGAGGCCTCTATATTACCGCACAATGCATCAACAGCCCAGAGCTTCAGGGGCCAGATTTTGCAGGCACCCATGCCTGCGGATGTTGCGCTTTGGCCTCAGCATTCTTCAGGCTTGAGTTGGATTTCGGGGTGTAGTGTTCCACCTGAAGGCTGAGAGTAAAAGATTTCAGGGATTCTATAAGAGGTCCTGAACCCTAAGCCCCTAAACCCTGAACACCACGCCCTTAAATGCTAGATACCCGAGATGATGACTTCTTCTCAACAGGAGGCATCTGCAGCACCGGAAACCGGGAGCAAACTTGCTACCGTCCGACTTCCCGTCTTACCCTGACCTTAAACCTCAAGATTAGACAATAAGCTACTTGGCTACTTTCCCAAAGGGTCCAAGGTACTGTTGTTGGGGAGACTTCCCCAAATCATTCTGAGGATTTAATATAGAAACCTTACATTCAACTATGTAGGTAGTAGATACTTTACACCCGTTGGGCTTTGACTTGTATCTTGCGGCTATGGTCCAATTGCATGGCCCCGAAGTCCGATGAGTTGACCGCGTGTCTGTGACTCTTTACGTGCATGCATGTGTGTGAGGTTCTCTCTATAAAATACATATATATATATATATATATATATATATAAATTATTACTATTATTATTGTTATTATTATTAATGTTAATATTGTTATATATATATATATATGTATCATCACATACCGAAGTATGCGTACATGTGCATAAGTTTATGATGGGATAATTGAGTACTTCCCTAAATCCCAGGCTCCAAACCGAAACCGTTAACCAAACCTAACCTCCCACCCTAAACCCCTGACCCCTCCGGACCCAATTAGGGTCCCTTAGTAAGCATGTATAGAAACCGCCCATGTCAACTCAACTGCCCAGACAGGAGAGGGAGCCTAGGATTGGACCGGCACTGAATCATTGGTTTCCGGTTGTGCCCAGACCTTCCAATATTCGTTGATTAAGGGATATGCCTTAAGTTATCGTAGAACCCATCAATCTTAAATTTTAAAGTATATTCCCCATTTAAGGGTATTGGAACGTCTGGGTAGGTTTGCAGGCTGAAAGCTACCATAGATTCCATCGGACTTTAGTAGTGAGTCTGCGGGTTAAGGCATTTACATTTTTAGCATGTTTTAGGGGCTAGCTCGGGGGTTGTTCTGTAGTTACCAATATTATCCCTAGGGATTCCTTATGGCTTCCCTGCTCTGGGTCTACCAGAAATTCTTCGAAAACCATAATATAGGCGCCTGAGTAATTAGAACAGGGTTTTGGGGCCCAATGATACCATAGTTATGATCAAGAGACCCCAAAATAGTACAGGCAATTATTAATGCGCCGGCATTATTCTACGTATCAACTGCAAAGGAGCAACAGCTTACCCTACAAACTCCTTGAAACTCCAAACTTCAGATGGAAGCCCCACCCTATATAAATCCTAGATTAACCCTTAGCCATGTCCTCTCTTTGGCTTAACCAGTGTAGTACTCAGGTCTTAAGATCTTCATGGAGCTACAATGAAGCCATCGGTATTCTCGAAACGCCAAACCCTTCTCCTAAATGCCGCCTTCAACCCAAACTCTAAGCCTGTTTGCTACAGAGTACTCCTACGCTCCAGTCTCATGCAACCGCAAACCTTATAAGCTCAACACGCTCAAGTTCAATCCTAACCTCCACCCTGAGCCCGAAACCTAAGCTCCTTCTGTCTTGCATCCAGAAACCTCAGACTCCCTGATCGGCCCGAGTCCGGGTGAAACCGCTAATGACTATGTGAGGGATCAAGGGACTTGCTAAGTAGGGTTGCCAATCAGATGCATACCCCCCCAAATTAAGGTGGCTGTGACCTGAAGCTTAGAGATACTTTGATACCTAAATCTGATCAAATGAAGGCACCTGTAACCTTTCTTGCTAGGTCCCTTGATCCTCCAAGTATAGGAAGTTCGTCGACAAACTTCAAGCCGCAGGAGAGATCGGAGTCGCACACAGGGTTTAGGGCTTAGGGTTTTGTGCGTTGGGCGTTTGGGCTTAGGGTAATGTAGGGTCATTGACAATAATTAAGGATAGAGCTCCCTGGTACATAATCTGCATTATAAAGAAGTGTATAGCATGATATGCGTATTATGCGTATGCTAGTAAACTCAGACCTCTACCCTACATTGCCAATTCAGCGCGACCCTGAAATCCAAACCTCAATCCCGCTTTCGTCCACCCTATCCACTATCGCTGGTATTTAGGTAGTTGTTGGTTAACCCAAAACACTATTTTGTTAGGGTTTAGGATTTCGGAGCTCTTAGATCAGTCGCTTGAAAAGCTCCATATTCTGTAAGTGAAAACAGAATCTTAAACCGTACAGCAGAGGTGGGGTTCACAGGGGCTTATAGCTTCACTCTGGTTTAAATCTTCTTCCTGCGCTTCTGTCTCGCTGCTAGCTGACGGAGATGCGGCGACTCCTTGCGCAAAGGGCCCAGGAAAAGAACCCTAAACCCTAAAACCTAAATCCCGAACCCGGAGCGACAACACCCGGTATCCTTTGAGGTACCTTCAAAGGTCCCGTTGAGGGTTGCCAGAGACCTCTATGTTAACAATCATGATTTCCAGCCCTCTCAGTTCATACACACGTATGTGTGTATATATATAATATATACTAGGTGGGGCTTTTAAAGCCATTGAAAAATATTAGTAAATAAGATCCTCTGAAGCCCAATAAGGGAAAATATAAAATGTCCCAAAGCCCTACCATATATATATATATATATATATATCTTTCTCTCTCTCTCTCTCTCTCTCTCTCTCTCTCTCTCTACAGTTTTGTACACCTTGACCTGCGGAGGACTTCTTGTTATGCTTCAAGGAAATTCATTGTTCACTTAAGCTAGAAAACTATAATGGTCTCTCTGGGCACTACGGAACCGCAAATTTTCGGATCAAACGAAGTTGCACTTCCCGAAGCTTCCAAATACCGACACCAGAGGTAATACTGGGGGTTTCATGAGACTCAGGTTTTGCAGTAAGCTATAAATTGGTTTTACAAGGACTATAGGAGGACACTGCAACTCATTAGTCCGACACCTGTCGTACCTGACCGTGATGGAACTTGCTCCCTACTTGGACTCCTTTCTCTCTTGCCGCATGTGTGACTACGTAGTATGGGCAAAATCTTGCACACGGCACTTCATGCCGTAGCGCAACTTCTACAAGTCGATCTGTTCCATAGCGGTTTTCACATTAAGATTGGGGCTTGCGACGGCTTGCGGCTTCTGAGACTGTTACGTACTGCATGCGCTGGGGTTCAAAAGCCCAAACAACGCAAGAGACTTGCCTGATGTGCATCCCTAAACCAAGTCCTTGGTGATGTCCCGCATGGCTTCGGGATAGTGCACCTTCCTTGTGTGTTCTTCAAGCAAAACTTTCACGGAGCAGCATCCCACATGCAAGTGAACGAACATGACTTTCGAAACTGCTTGGTGATTCTTACAGTTCATGTGTCAACACTCTGAAACTGCAACCAAGACCAGTCATGCTTTACTTCAAACATGAAGGAGCGCCAGAAGCATTCTAAGTAACAACACATCACAAATCTCGTCATCTCACACGCTTAAACGTTCGTAACGACAACCGAGCTTCTTTCCAGCACCGCGGCCGCCTGGACTTTGAGGCGTAGGGCCGGCGAAGACTCAACCCTTTGTTGCAGAGATAGACCATACTACCTACATCTACCTACAGCGTTCTGGCCATCTGGCTACGTTGAGCGCTGGTAGAGACTGTGGGGTGCGCTATGGTATCGGATCAGGTGTATGGGGATTCCAACGGGGTATAAACGGTACTCTTGCTAGTTAGTCCAACCCCTCTGACACATTCAACGTAATGCAGTCAGAAGCAGCTTCCACTTCGCGGTGCCAACGACTAGCCTAAACCCTACACCTTAAACGCTAACCCCTAAACTAAGGTTTAGCTAGTCTATCTAGTTAGGGATTTAGAATTCGGAGCTTGGGCCGGTCGATTCCTAAGGGCCTGAGTTTAGCACCTACAGGGCATGTACAGGCTTATTGTGAACTGCTTCAGTTTTCACGGATGTAAACCCACCTCGTCGGAATCTTTCTCCACAAAACTATGAAATAGTGTCTCAATCGTGAAGACAGTTTAGACAGTGTTCACCAATTCTCTAGTTCCCCATGTGTCGATCACAGAACACTCATCCCTCAAATTATACTGAACTTAGAGCCCCAGCAAAAATAATGATTTAAGCTGTTTCTTAGGAAATATAATAACCCAAAATTAAGAACTATTTCTAAGTAGCCCTAAGCTAATCCCCTGCAGCTACCAAGGGTTCCTTTACGGAGCAGTATCTACCCATAGGCTCCATCGTAGTTCCTTTTTGGGATTACCTTATAGGATTCGAAATATCAACCCCAAAAAGGAACTACTAGGTACCATCTTGGGTCCTTGCCCCCAGAGACTCCAATATCCCTTAAATGAGGAATATTTCCTTAAATCATATTAGGGATCCTCTTATGAATTTACGGTATAATTTCTTAATTAAGGGATATTGGAGTCTCTGGGCCCTTATGTATAAGTTAGAATACGGTTGAAAGGCTACAGAAATCCGAAGCCCAAACGGCCCAACAAAAAACACCAACTCGCCAAGTGGCTCGCAGTCACCCGAAAGTAGACGTTGACCCTCGCTTGGTCTGCGTGATTCGGGCCCACTCCGTGGATCGTCTGGTGGTGCATGATGATGGCCTCACCGATCCGAAAGTGCACTATAGAAGCCTATAATTATTAGGGTTATAGGTGTAGGGCTTAGGGGACCATTATAATCAAAATATAGAAAGGAACCCCCAGAATAGTATGGGTAAATACTGTTCAAGCGGCTATTTTAGGCGCGGGCTTTCGGGTTAGAAGTTCCGGGCCTAGTCTTAAGGAGTTCAGACACCAGAAATGAAACCAACTATCGCTTCATCTCTTGTGGCATTGCAGTGCGACTGCCAGGATCGTAGTTGCTACTACTAAGAGCTCAGTGCTCCGAGCGGAGAGTTGAGGCGGTGCACCCAAACTTGCAGCCAGAAACTTCCCTCAACCCAGCTGACTCACACCCGGAGAAGCTTTTCGAGCTATCCCTCCCGAATCAGAAGTGTGCTGAAACCAGCTCACGCTGGGATCGAACCCCTCCAAAAACAGCGACTCCTTCAACACAATCCCTAAGGGTCCATGTACTCATATAGTATATACATTGGCCTTAATGTAGTCCCTATTTGGGTACTTTGGGGCCCATGTATCTCTATATGGGTACATGGACCCTTAGGGAATGAAAGCTCGATTCTCAAGTATAGCCCTGAAACGCAAACCATCAAGCTCTAAAGCCCGGCAGCCCTACGCAACTTCCGTGAAACTTCCCAGACCTTCCAAAGCCCCTTAATTAAGGAATATACCTTAAGGTATATTCCTTACTTAAAGGATTTTGGAAGGTCTGGGTTCACCGAAAGCTTTCAACGTCGGCCCTTGACTCTGGGCTTAGGGCTGACTTGGAGAAACATGGGTGGCTAGAAGTGGAAGTAAAGTACACTACTATGGGTGGTTGTCAAAATGATGGTTCCTTTTTGGGTACCCTAAATGTTAGGTGCCGTACTATAATAGGGACCTAAAAACGGACCCCTAATTTTGACAGCCACCCATAAAGGTAACTATACTTCTAACCGCCCCTGAACCTGCAAGCAGGGCTCAGGGTTTATGGGAGTTAGGATTAGGGGGACCCTCGGGGATATAGACCCTCTCACTAAGCTCCCTTTTAAGAGAGCCAGAAGTAGGGTTCAGAAGGGGTTCCCTTTAAGGGGTCTCCCTCATCATGCTACCCAGTTTAGGGCTTAGGAAGTTCTGGGAATCTGAACCCTCATCCAAGGATCCCTGGAATCCTAAACCCTGAACCCTGCCTTCCCCCGCAATACCTACCTGATGTAGGAACCTGATTAAGAAACCTTGGGCCTAGACTAGGGTTCCTTTAAAGGGGTCTATAAGGGTTCCTAAAAGGGATCTATAATAAGGGTACTATAGTCATGTAGGAACCTGATTAAGAAACCTTGGGCCTTTATTAGGGCTCCTTATGTGTATCCTACTATTTTGGGGTGATAGGCCCAGGGTCGCTTTATCAGGTTGCTACATTATATTGTTTCTAAATATGGTTTCCCCATGGAAGTCTTGACAAAGTTGTATATTTGGAGTTAAGCCTGAAACCCAAAACCAGAAACCCAGTACCCCTACTCGATCCCTCATGCTCTATACTTGCCAGTATAAGAGGGAGTTTCGACAATGAGGTGTACAGGCCAAACCTGAACCAACTGCCTGAAGCCCACGACAAACCTTGAAAGCTCTACAGCTTAACATCCCTTAAACCTCATTATTGTCCGAGGGCTCAGGTGTGATAGGAATAGTTTTGTTTGAGGGTGTGTTTTTGCAGCTACAGTAGACTTATGTAAGGGCTGTATGAAGAGGTACTAGCACATATGACGAGATATTAAAATTACTATATGTTACCCGCCACCACTCGGCAGCGCACCTGTCCCGGCGACGCTCTCACCGGAACCATGGCGGGCGCCTCGCAGGCGAGTGAAGGATTTCAGGTCTACGGGTTGGCTTGGGTTTAGAGTTTAGGGTTTAGGATACTATGAAACCCAAACCCCAATCCCTAAACCCTGGAGCCCAACTAAACGCTAGACCCTCTGCATCCCAAGTGAACCCTGAACCCTAAACCCCAACTACACCCCCAAACCCTGGTGGACCCTCTAAATGCCAACCAAACCCTTAACCCTCATCCCAACTAAGCCCCCCAACCCTAAACCACAACCAAATTAGACCCTGAACCCTGGACCCTCTACGTTCCAACTCAGCCCTAAACCCCAACTCGACCCTAAACCCTCTACATCTCAACTAGACCCTAAACCCAACCTAAACCAAGTTTAGGGCTAAGGGTTTGCCGGTCTGGGCGGTTTAGGGTTTACCCGAAGGCTCCAAAGAGGGTCTTGGGCTTTGGGGGCGAGGGTTTGGGCTTTGGGGGCTAAGGTTTGGGATCTCACTACGGGGGTCCCGGAGCCCCAAGATCCAAAGGCTTTAGCCTGTCAGGTTTCTTGGTGCCTGCAGTGTTCCCATGCTCAGATCTTAAACTTTAAACCCTAAGCCCTACACCCGTGTTTGGTCAGATAAGGTGAAAGCCTCAACAACGCTTAAGCCGTGGACTTCTCAACAGGTCGCATCGCTGGGAGCCTCGTCCCCCAAGTACTTGGCCGCGATATCCTGACATGGCAAAGCTTTAGTTTTAAGCTTTCGGAATATAAGGCTCCGGTGTACCTAGATGCAGCGTTCTCTTTGTGGGTCCCCGCAGAGAAGCGCTTGTGTAACGAGGGCAGCTAGCCTTTTTCCTTTGGGCTCTTCATACAGAGCCACTACCTTGGGGTCAGGGTATCCTCTGAAACGGGAACTAAATCTTTCGTCAAGGGACTTCGAGCTCTTTCAGTCGCCGGGGGTTGACTGAAATTAAACACCTCAGCCCCAACCACGCCGCGTCCGTCATAAGGCGACAAACTCAAGCACACGAAAGTCCTGGAACGCCAACGCCGCCTGATTGCAATCCCCGAGCACCAAATCAAGCCCAGACCTCCACATCCAAAACCGTAAGCCTTATAATCTAAAAAGACGGCTGCTAAAGCAAAGCGTCTGTCTGCCAACCGATCGGTCCGTCGAATTTGCAGAAGGCCTGATTTTGGCATCCATGGGGTTTAGGATTTAGGGGACCGAGAAATACTGCTGCTCTTCCCCCTCGCCTTACTCTTAGCTTCTACTGCTCCGATTTGAGGTCGTTAGGTTTAAGCCTTCAGGGTTGGTGGAAATCGGAGTCCATCTGCAACAGCCCACCTTGCAAAACCAATTCAGTAGAGCTCTTTGCTGTAGCTTCGGCCGGTTTCTTGCTATATCGCCCCAACCCAGGTCATGTCAAGGCTTGAGCGCTAAGGGTCTAGCTAGAGGTTTACCTTTCGGTCGCCCTTAAACCCTCGGACCTTAAACCCAGAGCCTTACCCTATCCCTCCAAGGACCTCATAGTTAGGGCCCTAAACCCCTTAAGGACCCCATAATAAGGTCCCTGCAGGCATAGGGTTACACTGCAAAAACCCATAACTGAGCCCTAGAGCCCCTTTACTGGCCATTTCTACACAAAGAATGCTCCCGCCAAAACCCCTAAACCCCCTATCGTCTTTACCCTAAACCCTAAACCCTGAACCCTAAAACCCTATACCCTGAACCCTATACCCTAAACCCTAAACCCTACACCCTAAACCCTAAACCCTGAACCCTATACCCTAAACCCTACCCCCCCCCCCCCCCGCTCGGCCCTTTTGCAAAACGTCGAAGCGGGCAGCCTCTTGGAGTTTCCGGTGGGAGCCCGGCGCGAGCCAGAGGTTCCTTCTTGCAGGGTTGTTAAGACTCTAGGATACCAGGGCCTTGGGTTTTGGGGTTGATAGTGTGCAGGGCGAGGGTGTAGGGTTTTTTTTGGTTGAGGGTTTAAGGGTTTTGGGCTTTAGGGTTCTAGGATACCCAGTAACCTAAGAATAAAAAGGCCTCTCTTTTTGGTATTGGGTAACTTTATAAGGAACCTAGGACTACAAAAAGGGAATAAGGGTACTACTGGGCATCCTAGTTCTTGCAGGGTTTTTTAAGACTTAAGGGTATGCCTAGGGCCCCAAAAAAGCACATAAGAAAAACTTAGGACAGGTATAAACCCCCTTATAACGAAGCCCGATAGGGTGGGGATATCCCCATAAAATGCTTATGCTTATGTTCGTTTCGGGTCCCCAAATACCTAGACCCTGAAGAACCTACCTTTTCACGGTGTCCTATAATGGTCTCCTTGTATAAGTCCTTCAAAAGGCAGGTTATCTGGGGTTAAAGTAGGCCAATAGGGGAATTTCAGGGTTAGAATATGTGTTTTTTTTTTTTTTGTTTTTTTTGGGGGGGGTGGGGGTGGGAGTAGAGTATAGGGTATTGAAGACTTACCCTATGCTTCCAAGGAACTTATAATTAGGGCCCTGGACCCCCGAAGGAGCCAATAATCAGGTCTTTGGAAGTCTAAGGTTAGAGCATAGGGCCTATAGGGTTTAGGAGTATCTCAGGGTTAGAATATGGGGTTTGGGGGGGTTTAGGAGTAGAGTATAGGGGTTGGGGTTTAGAGTACCGGGTTTCGAAGTCATTCAGGGTTAGAATTTGGGGTTTGTTTGAGGGCATCGGGTTTAGGAGTTTGTAAGCCAAGGTGAGGCAAGAGTCTAGACTTTAGGGAGCTGAGGGTTGAGGATTCCTATAAAGGTTAGTTGGCATTTAGGGTACCGGTGTAGACTTGAGGGTTTTGGGCTTGGCATAACAGGATTGTTTCCAGAGGCGGCCGACATCCCTGCAGCAAGCTTCGGTGGAGGGCACATGCCCGCCGGATGGGATTGATGGCAAACCAAACAAGTATCAACAGCATTTACATCAGCAACAGCAGCATCGTCGTCGTCGCCATCGTCATCATCATCATCACCACCACCAGGTCATCAGCATCATCAACACAACTCGGGAGTTAGTGTACAATGCCGAGTCTATTCAGTACCCAGACCTTCCAAGATCCCTCTATTATTGAATATACCGTAGGTCATATCATGGAGCCTATTACACTTGAAGGTATATTCCTTAATGAAGGAATATACTTTAAATCATATTCTCTATAGCATAAAGTATAACTGAAAGTCTATTCCTTAATTATGGGATATGGGAAGGTCTGGGTGGACAGCCCAGCTGCCCAGCATCATCCCGGGTGCCCGTTTCGCCTCACGAGGGCGGCACTACAGAAGGAGGAATAAGGTGGAAAATGTTAGGGCGTAGGGTTTAGGGTTTGGTGGTTTAGGGTTTGTTTTTGTTTTGGGGGTTAGGGTGTAGGAAATAAAGCTTTGAAGTTTCAGGGGGTAAGTGCTTAAGCACTGGAAGGTGAGGATTAAAGGGGCTTGGGCTTCATCTTTTTGGGGTTCAACGGTTGCGAGTTCAGGATCACGGATTCAGACCTTGAGAGAGGCTTAAGGCTGAGAGCTTGGACCCCACCAGGGCCCCTATATCCCCATTATCGTTTCAAGATATAACAAAAGAGACCTGAATAGAGTTTGGGGCAGGCTATCGAGTTTTGTCACGGACGAGCAACACTATATACCAGTCCGAGTCCTGACATCACTAGCTTTGGAGGCTCCCGTTTCAGAGGGTTTTGGCCACTGGCTGTTGCGAGCTTTCCCTAGGTGCAAAGCCTGTCCACAACAAAGCATGGCATAAGGCAAAGCAACTACAAAATGAGCTGCACATACCAGCCCTTTAAACAGCGCTACTCCGAGCCTGAATACACGAGACCTGAAGCCCAAACCATAGAGAACCGGCAAAGCACAAGGGTTCTGGTCTGCAGATGCTCCTTTCCATATGGGTAGTTGTCAAAATTAAGGTCCCTTTTGGGTACCCTAAATATTAAGTGCCTTATCATGATAGGGACCCAAAAAAGGACCATAATTTTGACAACTACCCATATGCTGGTTGTCGGCAAAGCATCTCGGCTTCGGGGCATGCTCATGGGTTACTTGGAGGTTCATGGGTAGTTATAAGTAGGGTTCCAAGTCCCCCAATCCTAATATGGGCTATAACCTACTTATGGCCCTACTTATAACTACCCATGAGGCTCCGAGTAGCATGTATGCAGGACTGAAGGGCCATATCCCAAGTCTCTTCAGCGAAACAAGCTACGATGAACCGTTCCCCAAAATTCCGAAGCATAAACCATGAGCCTTGACAGCCCAGCTGGATCCCTTGCTGCCGAGATGCCACCCAAAACGACGCCAAAAAGAACGGAGTAGTTTGCAATGGGCTGGCCCTGCGTCCTCGTGTCAACGCTGCTTCAGGACCAAGCAGACGAAACGAGTTCAGCAGGCGCTGCAGCAGCGGCAACAACATATTTTGAACATCGCACTCAACATCAAAGGCAAAGGTTAGCAACATGGATTTGCAACGAACACAGCTAACCACTAGCAGTCAACAAGAACCGTGTTTACCGGGATGCATGCACTCACTTGGGGACCACAGCATTGCCTGGAAAATAGACCAAGGATCTTGGCATATTCTGAGTCTAGACTCAAGAGTAACCTGGGAATAAAAAGGGTGCCCTTTTTGGTTTAAAGGAGCTTATACGGGAGCCTGAACCCTAAAAAAAAAAATAAGGGCCTACTCTAGGTCCTAGGAGTTCTTCGACATGCTCTGGTTTGGATCCGAATCGGGCTCCGGGTCGCAGCAAGTTTTGGGACATAGGCCTTAGAGGTTTCGGCCTCAGGCGTCCCGGTAAAATCCTCTGCTGCTCTTAATATTAGTATTAGCATTAGTATTAATATTAGTATTAGTATTCATATTAGTATTGATATTAGTCTTGCGTGATCCTTGCGAGGCAGGCTGCCCACTTTTGGTTCCGAGAGGCGGCGATTTGCCTGAAACCCGACTTAAACCCTCCTTTGTTGTCCAGCATCATAAAGGAAATAATTAAGCTAGAGCTGCATAGGGTTGTACGGTACCCCAAAAAGCTTGAAAAGTTACCTACTTCAATACTAAGCCTCCCTTGAAGGAGCATGTCTGAGAGTTGAAGCCGAGTGTCTTTTGCCGCGAAATTGTCTGGTCCACGTGGCCAATGTTCGGGCTTCTCATGCCTGCGACTGCGGGCGAGAAACGAATAAGTCTTTCTGCACCCAGAATAATAAGCCCAAACAAGCCTGAACTCATGATAGCCAGCAAAGGCTGTGATCTGCGAACCGTAAAAAGTAGCATCGTTTTCATGTAGGGACCCGTGAATGCCGCAAAATTTGGGCACTGTGCCCAAACGGAGAACTGGTTTTCTTTCCACTGCAGACAACCCATACTTCAACCTGCTGCAACTCATGAACATGAATCCCTTTCGCAGCCAAAGCCTAACCCTAAGGCTTGAAATGGCCCAAAAGCCTTATATGATATAATATGGTCTTTAGGCCCCAAAGCCTTAAAATACAAGTCCTTAGAGCCTTAGGGTAATGGTACCTCTGCTATCAGATGACTTGACTCACTCCCTGCCACTGTCTGACTAAAGCGACCCGTATTTGGTTGATTGAAGCTTCCAAGGGTAGAAGGAGGGGGCCCTTAATAAGGACCCCTAGATATATACCCTTAATATAGCTATTATATACCCATCATATAGCCCATTATAAGGTGGGGGTCCCCATTAAGGGTCCCTCCTTTTCCCCTTTGAAAGCTATCTTCTACTAAGCGCTAAGTTCCACCAGAGGCCCCCGAAGCCCAACACTCATACATCAATCACAAGGAACCTTAACTTTCTGTACCGCTTCCATACCCTAACAGCCATAGAAGGAATTTTCCGAAAATAGGGGACCCTAATATAGTACCCTAAATAGTAGGATCCTTGTTATAAGGATCCCAAAATAAGGTACTCCCTATTTTCCGAAACTCCCATATCCTCGCTGTACATATTATTCAACTGTTTCCGAGAGGGGGGCGGTATCCACGACCACAGCAAACAAAAGAACTCCTAAACCCTGCCAAGACCCAAACCCTAAAACTGCCAAACCCAAGCCCTAAACCCTCCCAAACCCTAAACCCTAAACCCCAAGCAACCTAAACCCTAAACCCCCAACCCCAAACACTGAACAAATCAACTCCAACCTTGAAGGTCGGCGTAGCCCTCGAAGTTGGGCTGCTTCACCGCGACCTGCACCTCTGCGTAGGGGATTCTGAAATTTGTTGCTTTGGGATTCAGGGTTGCGGGGCTCTAAACCCTAAACCAGGCTCAGTGTTTGGGGTTTGGGCTTCAGGGCCTAGGGTTTTGGGGTTGATAGTGTGCAGGGCGAGGGTTTAGGGTTTTTTTTGGTTGAGGGTTTAAGGTTTTGGGCTTTAGGGTTGGTGTTGAGGATGTTTAGCTTTGGCTGGGTTGCTCTCGGATTTCGAGTACCTGGGTCTCAGAAAACCTGCTTATCCAGACGTTCTCGTCCTCTAGAAACACTAAACTCAATCGCCACCTAAACCCAGGCACTCAACCTAAACACAAACTACCAACTACTCCCAGGGCCTTCTGAGTGATGGGTTAGGGCGCTACATTTCCTATACTAGCGAGAAGTCTCAGAACTGTCGCATTTTTGTCCGTGGGGTCTTTTAGCTACAAGTGACATGTTAAGGGCCGAGGAAGAGGTGTTGGGGCCCGAGACATGTTCCCGGCGGTCTTGAAGCAATGACAAAACACGGAACACTCGACCAAACACGGACAAAGATTACCAATTACATCTTTGTCTTCAAACACAACACAGAATACGTCCGCAACCCAGGACACCAACATACAAGCATACGCGGCTTAAGGGAGGGCTAGACGCTAAAAGAGTTACGGATTAAGGTCAAGGGTTTAGGGTTCAGGGATTGGGGTCAAGGGCCCAGGGTTTACAGGGCTTAAGTGGCTTAAGTTTTCGGGTTCATGTTTTGTTGGCTTTAGGGTTTAGGTTTTAGGGTTCATGGTTTGTTGGTTTTAGGTCTTCAATGGGCAGTCCTCATCACCGCACCACCCACACTCGAATACTAAGCAAGGACTCAATGCCACACACCAGCTCACTTGTGGGTGATGGCATTTGGATATGGTCACCTTCCGTAATATTGAGTACCACGAGCACAGTCGCATTGAGGGCTAACACACACAGAACAGTCCCCACCTGCACTTTCTCAGGAACTCCACGGCGGACAATGACACAATCCCTCAAAGAAACCTTGCTAGTCCATGGGGTGCTCGGCGTTCTACGCTCGACTACTGCAGACCGTAGACCCTGAATACCTTCTCTAAGGGAAAAACCCTCTTTGAGAGCGAAGGCGGGTCGTTGCAAGTTGCAACGCTAGCACTCGAATTTAAGGCTTTGGGCTTTCCTATGAGCTTCAGGTGTTTAGGGTTTCGAGCTCCAGGCCGAGCTTCCGGCTTGAGTTTACGATTTGGGGCTTGCTGCTGGGTTTCGGACCTGTGAGAACTTCAGGTACGGCGTCGAAAAGAGATGTCTTGGGGCTCTTTACCCCAAAGCCCTGAAAGACATCCACCCGCACTCAAACATAATTAGAAGCTAACAAGACGCTGACCTTGCCATCATCTCCACAGAAAGCGCCCTTGTAATAGATATACCGATGACGAGGTGAAGCAGTGAAGCAGAGAACACCCCGAAAGCAGCATTTCACTTGCAGGATAAACGGGAACTGAAACACCGTAAACTTAAACTCGCATTGCTGCGCTGCTTCGGGGAGTACATAGAGCTTTCCGTTTGGGCCTGAGTCCCGCCTGGTTGTGGTGATCGTAGGGGGCGCTGTTGTGACCAGGAAGGAGAAATCCGTCCAGGAGTTGATGTAGAAAAGGAATATAACCTGAGCTTCTTTCCGAGCCCTAAACCGTACCCCTGCACCGTTACATCCCGAAGCCGCAACCCTGGACTCTAAACCCCGGCTCTGCACCAGAAACACTTTGAGAAGCCTGAACTGTCCAGCGAAAACTGGATCCATGGACCCAATCGGGTGTACCGGACTGGCAGTGCACCACATGAATCCCAGTTGTGCCCGCCAAACCAACACGTAGAGAACAGCGGCAGTAGGAGGAGCAGGAAAACAGCGGAGCAGCAGCAGCCATAACCTTTGACTAATCCTGGCGGTCGACATAGTAATATGTACTGAAACATATACAGTGTCATAGCTACACGAATCCACAGTGCAGGACTTGTGAATGCTTCCCGGGCAGTGTGCATGAGTCCCCCATGCATGGTGCACTTGGAGCTTCACGGAAAGTCAACTCGTGGCTACCCACGAACCTCCAGGTAAGGGGGGATTGCAAACGCTAGACCTGAGCAACCACTTGGGGCTTACTCGATTCTAGAAAGTCCCCAAAATTATCTAATTATACTTATTGGGCTCTGTATTCAGCAAAAAGAGACATGTCAAATGCTTCCAGATCATTATCTAGTTTAGGGCTTAGGGCTAAGGAAAAGAGTAGAACGCCAAGACTCACTGTCAACAACTTGTCGAGGGTATGATCGTAATCTCAAAGGATGCCTTTCCGGAAGATCCCCCCCATTTACAAGAACCATTGCCTCTCCCTAAACACTAAACCCTACAGTAGAAGCCAGAAAGTTGGAATATCATTATCCTAACCCCTTTAAGGTAAATTATAGGGGATCCTACCATTAATCCATATTCCAACTTTCTGGAGTTCCCTCTACACCCTCAGCAAAGAGGCGATTGATGAGGGAAAATAGCATCAGCTTTTCAGAGCGCTGGTTGCGGATGTTGGGCCGCAGGCAGACGAACCTGAGAAGACCAGGGGGATGGTTCCCAAACAGTCTTCCCATATAACCCCAAAGGGTCCAAAGGAACTGTATAGTAGAATGTACGGCTTCTATATTAGGGATTATTACTATGATTTGGGGAAGTATCCCCCATGACAGTACCTGGGACCCTTTGGGAAGGTATCCAAAAATTTCAGCGAAAAGCCAGAAATCCTCAGGAATAAGGTATCTGAAAACCAAAAAAGAACTAGATTACGGCCACCCTTCAGCCTGGCGTTGGAAGTCTAAGGGCTTGCACTAGAAAATGGGTTTAAGGTTTAGGGTTTGGGTTTAGGGTTTAGGGTTTAGGGATTAGGGTTTAGGGTTCAGGTTTAGGGTTTAGGGTTTGGGGCTGCTGGTTTAGTGTTAGGTCTCCAGGGTTCCAGAATGCAGCCGCCTTATATGAAAGTTTAAGTCGAGTCTTGTCCCAAACCCTAAGTATGCCGAGCTCGATGTGACCCATAAACCTTGGCTGACTTTTGAACCCCTCCAAAGAATTAAACTTTAAGCCTCCTTATTATAGTTCATATAGAAACCCAAAAGGTTATAGTCCTAAGAGCCAACCAAAAGAGCGCCAAAAAACTATGTCGAATGTGGTGTCGTTTTCGCTAAAATAACAGCAGTCCGAGCGTGTCAATCTGAGCATGGAAACGGAAAGTAATTAGGGCGGATTGGCCAGAGGGCTTGCTGCGGCCGAGTGTCTCATTGTTACTGTCACGCCCCTTCGTTCTTCTCACCTGATGGGCGGCCGCTGCCGCTGTGGAGACCTCCTGATGAAGGGAGCATACATGGTACTGGGTCGAGGGCCCCGCTTCTTTCGTGAGCATAGTGCTACTACCACGAAGGGAATGACTCCGACAGCGCCTACAACAAAACGCCAAAAAGAACAACCAACCAACAGCACCAGCAATGACAGCACACGACAACGGCCAGCATCAGCACCCGTCGTGGTAGTGGCACTTGCAGCGGTATTTCGGAAAACCTGGTGGTGGTAGTTGTAGTCGCCGTCCTCGTCTTGATCGTAGCAATAGCAAGAGTAAGAGTAGGAAGAGGAGTAGGAGTCGTCGTATTGGTCGTAGATTGTAACGGGGTCGTCGTCGTTGCCATCTTCACTGTGACCGTATTCATTCAAACAAGAAGAACATGATCACAATGTTGGTGGTAGTGGTGATATCAGCGGTTTCAACAATGTTGACACTTTTGCGATCTAGTAGTCACTAGAGCCACTAGAGACTACAACCCATTGCTACTGTAACGATCGGTCGGGTTGGCAATGTCTTACTTGTGGTTCAGACGGTTGTGCAACCCCTCTTCACTAGTCCTAACCGACAGCCACAAACGTGCTAATTAGCGAAACCTCAACGAGTGAAAAAGGGATCGTTATAGAGTCGTGCACAAATTAACACAATAGCACCGAAGTGGTAGTCCGAAGTTTTTACTGGCAACACCAAATCCTTGACAACATGTGGCGACTCTGCATATTTAAGAGCGCGGTCCTCCGGACTCCAGAGTGGATTGAGGACGGCATAGCCTGCATCTAGATTCTTGCTCTTGGTCCAATCGCTCGAGATGCTTTCTAGTCTACACCTTGTTTTCATGTATGGTACATAGTATAGTATATATATATATATATATATGTATGTGTGTGTTCGTATGTATGTATGTATGTATGTATGTATGTATGTATGTATGTTCTGAGTAGTTCTTAGTATGACTTAGTATCGAATTTTATGTATGTGCTCCAGACAGTAACGACGGGGCTGTATCGAAGACTGGGGCAATCTCGAGGTCAGCCCACGGGGATAGCAGTTGGAGTTGATACGGTTGATGATACAAATACTGCACTACCCATACCAAGGAATATACCATAATTCCCCTAGTTTAGGGGTCCTCAAGGTAATGCAGGATTTATATCATCAACCATAGTTGGAGATCTTTGACGCTTGCCTGGTAACACCAACCGCTCTAGGGCTTGGGGCTTGGGGTTCTACGGTTTCGTTTCGAGTTCAGGGTTGTGTTTTTAGCTTCGGGGGTGCTTGGGTTGATCGGCCTCTGCTCGACTCACTGGCGGATTGCTAGGAACTGTGGGGGTTAAGTTTGTTCAGAGTTGGCCGCCCTTAAACAAAGGGCAGCCCTTAGATAAACTGGTGTGCGAATTATGGGTCTGAATGCTTGGAAGCACGGACTCAACGTAATGCTCCCTCGCTCGAGCTACTTCGAACGGTGACTACTAAGATTGGCTGCAGCACACCGAAAGCCGTAAAATGCGATCTCCCACGCTTGAAGAAGTCAGGGCACCTTTCTCCAGGAAGGAGTTGGCATCGAATCCTATTCGCCGCGCTTGAAAGTCCAATTCGTCGATGCTGCAAGCTGCATCGAAGTGCCTCGATGTTTTAAGTATTGAGGGACATGCTGCGTGGATTTAGAAAGCTTAGGCCCAGTGCAGGCATGTAGAGCCCTGCGACGTATAACCACGATTTTCAAGACCTCCACAATACGATCACTGTAGTAACTACAAACAAACAAACACTCAACGAACTAGTTTGGAGTCTACACTAGCACTGGAAAGTCCAATGCGCCAAAGGTCGAACGCACACAGCTCTTCAATCCTCATCCCAATATCGTGCCTAATTTCCGGGCCTAAGTAGACAGCGTAGCATTGAAGGGTCTCGCATGATGTTGCAAGGTAGGGGCCATAAGCGGATCTCCTTGCGAATTTATCAGATTTCAGGGTTCTGGGCTTCATGTATGTACGTATGTACGCACGCATGTCGGTATGTATGTGAGTATGTATGTATTTATGTGGAATGTGCTTAAATATTTATTGCTTTGCTTATGGCTGTAACTTGTTGGTTAAACCCTGCAACCTGACTGCAACAAAAAATGACCAGCCAAGGAACGAAAATAAAAATAAACCGTCAAACTATGAACATTGATATGTGTATATCTATATATATATATATATATATATATGTATATGTACATGTACATATACATATACACATATGTATATATAAACACATGTATATAAACCAGCACAACTAGAGACATAGATACGTACTTACACGTACATACACCACATTATATATTCATATAGCGATGTACACATACATACATATACACATACATATACACATACATATATACACAGTATATGTGTGTAGAGGTCTGCCTACTCTAGTATCCAATGGGCACTGTGACTTTTGCACACCTCTCTTCAGTTCAACTTCCGGCTTAGGTTTACGACTCGGTGACTCAGGGCTTACCGGTTACAGGGTTTTGTGTTTACTTGCAGCGCGGCTTATAGTTTAAGGCCAAGGGGTTTGTTTCTCTGATTAGCCAAACCTTTAGGGGCTAAGGGTCGAGGGGCCGAGGGGTCTGAGGTTCCCAATGCTTGGCAAGAGCACGACAAGGGCTCCCCAAGCGAAAGTTCGCCACACGGTATTTCGCGTGGCGGCGGCCTCGCCTCTTCCTTCTCAGGGTTTAGGGTTTAGGGCTTTCTGATCAAAAGGCAGAGTGTCGAGCACTCTCGCGCAGCTTCAACCCTAAACCCGGTGGGGATTCGAGGGCTACGATCTCGGGGCGCGAACCCCTGACTCTGACGAGAGTTGATGAAGGTCATTGTCGAGCCCTAAGCCGAAGAGGCTTCAGTAACTGCCATCCCTAATCCATGGCCCTGATTTGCTGTTTTTTTCAAATGTCGCCAAGTGCATAGTACAGGGGCTGAATGAGCAGAATAGGGTTTTGGGGTGTACTATACTTCAGAAATCAAAATGAACCCGGAAATCCTAAATTAGGCGCAAAGCTCAGCAACACAGAAGAGATAGGAGGAAACTGCGCAACACAAAGACCGAGCGTCGCCCTCTGCCATTCGCTATCGAGCTCTCTCTCCCTCTCTCCCTCTCTCCCTCTTTCCGTCCCTCCGTCCCTCTCCCTCCCTCCCCTCCCTCTCCCTCCCTCCCTCGCTCCCTCTCTGCCTGTCGTATCTCAGAATTTCAATGCTCTCTCTCTCTCTCTCTCTCTCTCTTTCTTTAGTTGCTGGGTATCCTTCTCCCCTGCCCGGCCCTCCGAGGTCCTCAACCGGCTTTTCCGCCGGCACAACTTCCTGCAGCTTCCGCTTTGCAGCTGCCGGCCGCTTCATGGCAACAGCGAACAAGGCCTCGTCCCCGAGACCTCGAATCCTAGCATAGGGGCCTTAATAACTACCTATACTATTGCGGGGGGTTCCGTACTAGAAGTGTAATATAGTATACCTCAAAGCCTTATTCCAATGATTGCGGCCCCTTATCTTCCTACCAGACTCAACTGGGTTCTTGCTAAGGAATCCCACTAAGTTGCCATAACAGGGATCTATAGTAAGTAATATTGTTACTTCATCATGGTAACTTGACTAAACTCTGAAATTTGGCTCAGCTTTTTATGGGTTCGTCCGTATGACAAGTGATCACGGGAATCGACGGACAGTCTTGCCACGCTGGTCAAGCAGTATCGTTCAACACCGGCAAGTAAAGACGATGATATGTTCTCAACGTCTCGCTGAAGTTAGACACCTAAGTACAGTTCAAACTGCTTCGTCCAACAACAAACCCAAACCGGCAACAAACACTTCAGCACAGTTCAGACGTTTTCCAGGATTGGAAGTTTAGGGTCTTCGAATTGGTTTGATGGAGGCTCACCTAGGCGGAGTTTGGCCATCCTGTCCATCTGTTCAAGCTACTTTAAGACTCTACATCTTGGCTTGGGTTCTGATTGTTGTTGGGGTGTGGATGTCAAGGCCCCGTGGATAGCATAGTGGGCTTACTCTTCCGTCATTACTCTGACTGGCACCACACGACAGTCCGCATTGAGGCCCAATGGCTCAGGCAGCAGGTTCCCAGAAGTTCAACATGCGCTAGGAAGCACAGAGAGCGAGAGATACAAAATGGGAGAGGGGGAAACGCATGGATATTTATAGCATATGTGTATGTGCACAGGAAGAGGGGGAGAGAGAGAGAGAGAGAGAGAGAGAGAGAGAGAGAGTTGCAGAGAGAGAGAGAGAGAGAGACAGAGAGAGAGAGAGAGAGAGCACACAAGCTTGAGCAAATCTTGCCTTTCTGACGACCTCTCTTATCCTGATCTGCAGTCAACAGCTTTGCAGATCATTCAAGCACGTAGCATGTCGGGGATCGTTGTGAATTAGACATTCCGTGTCGGCGCCTGTTTCTACCCCAAGCCCTACCTAGAGGCTCATACCCTGCCCCCTTTCTTAGGGCACCTAATTCTCTAGCTAGGATCTGTCATACAGAAAAAGTAGGTATCCAGAAAGAAGGGATAAGGCATGAGCCACTAGGTAGATTCCTACTCAGATCCCGGAGCTTTAGATCTTCAGGTGCATTATTGAAGAGTCTCTAGACTCTAGAACAAACTCCGACTGTGTGCACAAGGCTCCCTACGTTTTCAGGCTTCTGCCGGGGCCAGCACATAGGTCACAGAAGCCTTACAATCAGTGTGTAAGAACATGAATGAAGGGGCTAACAACGAGGGTTGAGGCTCCGCTATTTCCGGACTCTTGTTCCCTGACCAAGACATTCAAGACATCATGCCAGGCTCCAGGCCATCTACAAGTACGCTCGTCATTAACCCAGAAGGCCAAACACCTGTCTCCAGCCTGCACCACCTTGAACCCCAAACCGCAGAGCGACAAGCCCATATCTCAACATACCGCAGAATCCCTGAACCATAACCCCACCAGCCATTGTCGGGCACTGCCCTTGTCGGGCACCGCTGAGGAGATTCAATCCGTCCGACGCAGGTAAGGCTTGAGCATAAGCGAAGGAGATCGTTGCAATGTGCTGCAGATCCAGGTCTGGCCTCGGGCAGTGAAGGGTTTACGGTTTAGGGTTTTAGGGGAATAATATGGGTGGTTGTCAAAATTAGGGCCCCTTTTGGGTTCCTATTATAATACGGCACCTTTTACTTAGGGTAAGCAAAAAGGGACCATAGTTATGACAACCACCCACATGTGGCTACAACTGTCACATAAGAAACGTTGCTGTGCTTCTTCGCTCTTTAGTACTGGCACTAGAACTAGTGCTAGTGCTAGCACTAGCATTCTCAGCCCTAAGCCTAAACCCTCTGTCGGAGCTGGAGCAGCAAGCAGCCGCATGCTCCGTATCGGCCGCTTATCCCAAACCCGAAATCCGCAACCCCCACGTCCAGAATGGGCCTTCATAATTAGAATAGGGTTTGGGGGGTACGTTATACTATACTTAGAATAAGGAACCCCCAAAATAGTATGGTAATTGTTGTCTCCTCATACCCACAACAATTCTTCTGCAGACCCGAGGACAATCGCTGCTGGGCATATTTGGCCATCTTCGTCATCAGCTCTTGTGCGGGTCGCCTTGGGATGCGGCAGTCACAGCTTCGGATACAATCTTGTCTCCTGCTATACTTTCCCATATTCTATTCGGGGTTGTAGCTTGAGGCCAAGGGCTCCCGATGTTTCGGCTGATGTTAAACTTCAGCTTTTGGGCTGGTTCGAAGTTTAACAGCTTGGCGGTTTCAAGTTGATCCAGGGAAGGTTTGGGGTTCAGAATTTGGGTGGCTGTCAAAATCAGGGTCCCTTTTTGGTCCTGAATATAATACGGCACCTAATATTTAGGGTACCCAAAAAGGGACCTTAATTTTGACAAAACCCTATACCCGTATAGAATCCCTATAGATCCCTTTAAAGGGACCCAAAAAGGGACCTTAATTTTGACAACTACCCATTTGAAGGGTGTGGGGTGCAGGAGCCCCTCGGGATGCATCGCCCCAGCCTGGTGACGCTTCGAAGCTGCCCAGACCTTCCAAAATCCTTAATTAAGGAATATACCTTAAATTATAGTAGAGTCCCTATTATGATTTAAGGTATATTCCTTAATCAAGGGATTTTGGAAGGTCTGGGTGTCTTTGAAGCTGCAGCGGGATACATTCGCCTTAAGGTAGTCCCAGTATAGATACTTTGGGGCCAATCTATATACTATATGGGTACTTGGACCCCTGGGGAACATATACTTCGATGCTGCAGTCTGGTACATGGGAGCAAACCTTGCATTGACTAAGTGTGCAGTTGACAGCTATGCTGTCAACAGCGCACTTTGCCTTCAAAGTCGAGGAAGCAACCCAAGACCCACGAACTAGCCCAGCGAGAGGAAGGTCTTAAGACTTCTCGTTGCCTCCACTGATGCCCCTGAGAGCCTTTATGGATCCCTTGAAGAAGGCCCTATCTCAACACAGACCTCATGAACAGGATATGCTCCCCCTAATCCCTAGACACATAAACCCCCTAAACCCTGAACCCCCGAAACCCAGATACTGATAGGATACGCTTTGGGAGGATCCTTTGGATCCTTCATTAAAGGGAAGCGGCCCGGTCCGAAATGCACAATGCGTGGCTCGAACACGAGGATTTAGATATCGGGTTTAGGGATTTAGGGCTTAGGGTATCTCGACCGCACGCGCTGCATTCCTGGCTCCTTCCCTGCGTGCACTTGGTGGCGTACCCGCCGGGGACATCCAGCTTTGCAAAGGCATTAGACAGGTGTGCCAAGTCCTGAGCCACGCGAGAGCTCGGAACGGGCTTATGCGTCATGGCCAAGACTAGTCCTTATTTGAGACCTCAAGGTGCCAAATCGCTCATGAGTGTTAGTGTCGGCTCTCCTGTTTCAGCTATGATCCACCGAAACAAGCCGTAACCTGAATCCCTGAAACCTAAACCATAGCATGATGCCCTTCTGACACCGTTTGGCTGAGGGCAGAGGGCAAAGGTCAGGCAGCTTTGGTACTTCGGGAAAGCACGGTGGACTCCAGGCTGGGTATGTAAAATATAGGGCCCTGATAATTAGAGCAGGCTTCATTTGACGACTCCTTTTCCTTTCACAAGGTTCAATAGGGGCTATTAAAAAGGTCACCTAGGCATTGACAATAAGAATAGGACTTTGGAGCCCGGTGTAGTATTTTCGTACAACAACTATCAGGGGATATTATCACCTCCATTTTAGCACTTGTGGTGTCGGGGTTCGGGTTCCGGCTTACTGTTACTAGGCAAAGGGTGGTTTGGGTTGTGGATTTTAATACAAGGTTTTAGGCAAACAGATGCTAATGATACAGCAGCTCATCTACTTGTAGCAAGAATCGCAGCAACTGTAGCAACACATCCTCGGCACGACGCCAGATCCTCTCTGACAACCGTGCTGGGATATGGCTATCGCATGAACATTCGGGAACATCAAGAAGCAGTCACCGACCCTAACATGTCTTAGCTTACCTATTGCATTATTGTGACAAGTGACAACTGCAGGTTCATGTACATGAGTGAGAAACCCCGGTGATGTAAAGCCCTACTCCAAACTCCGCTCCCAACCTGCAGAATTGAAGGTGCAGGGCCTGCATAGGGTTTATATTGATAAAGTTTATGCAACGGTTTAGGGTTTGGGGGCTTAGGGGTTTACGGTTTCGACACCCTCCGCCTTAAACCCAAAACCCAAAATCGCTAAACCACTAAACCCTGAAACGACAACGCCTAAGCCCAAATTCAACCCCAAACTCCTGAACCCTAAACCTCTGAACCCCTGAACCCTAAACTTAGGTGCCGAGTTCATAAGCCAAAAAAAGTTTAAACTTTCAGTTTTAAGAGGGTTTCATTATCCCAAAAAGTTTAAAGTTCATAAACTCAGCTACTAAGTAAACCCCCTAAATCCCCGAAAATCCCAAAGCCCCAGAGAGTGCCTGGGATCGGAGCTCTTCCAAGCTTTCCAGCGCCAGCGTCGCCAAGGGTCCGAAAAGATCCTCGCAGGCCTCGAGAAGACAGGATCAGAGGTTTAGGTTAGGTACGGCCCCAATACAGTAAGAGTCTATCCTCGGGCTACTATTAAGGTCCTACTATATCTATATTGTGAAGATTACTCAACTATTACTGAGTGGGGGCCGTACCCAAGGTTTAAGCCTTTTCTTTTAAGGTGCAATGGCTCTTTCTCTGCTGCGCAACACTGCCAAGCAGGAAATCACCTAGGTTTAGGGTTTTAGGGTTTAAGGTTTAGGAATTAAGGGTTTAGGGGTCGAGAAGACGGGGTCAAAGGCTTTGGGAAAAGGGTTCCTTTGGGGTTCCTTTAAGGGTTCCATTAAGAGCTTCTATAAAGGGCCTAGGGTTTAAGGATTTCGGTGGTTTCGGGTTTAGGGGCTTCAGGTCGAGAAGGCATTTTTACTATACTGAACCTAGACCCCTAGAAAAATTATAGCTGTAGCTGCTTCTGAAGGATTAAAGGAACCAACAAATACAAATTATTTATGTGTAAGTATCCCTAAGTTTGGGACTTAGGATCTAGGGCTTAAGGTTGTGCTATGCATGGACTGTGGCTCCTTGGTTGGGGGTTTAGGGCCCCGCCCCTGGTGTCCAGGTGGCTGTGGGTTGATAGTCGAGTCGGACTGCGGAAGTGTGAGGCTGGGTTTCCTCTGCAACCCTAAACTCCGAACCCGAAACTCCTGAAACCTGAGCCCCTAAAGTCCTAAACCCCGAACCCCTAAACTTCTAACCCTGAACCCCTAAACTCTTAAACCCCGAACCCCTAAACTCCTAAACCCTGAACCCCTGAACCTTAAACGGCCCCTAAACAGCCCTAAACCCCAAACCCTAAACTACTAAACCCTGAACCCCCAAACCTTAAACGGGGGCCCGTAAGTTCACAAGCTACCGGTTGCCTCTGGTTCACCGCAACCTTCAGCACCCAACATGGACCCCCCCTCCCCCCGCCTCAACCAACAAAACAGCGAAGCCAGAGACACAAGCATAAAGCAAAAAAACGTGCACCTTGCTCCCCGAACCTGAGATGCCTCGACTGATTAGCTACAATGATACAAGAAAACTTGGGACTGCATTCTACTATATCAAGTAACCTACTACGCTATATGGAGGCATCTTGTTTGAGGGTTTGTTGCCTGTGCTGTTGTGTGACGACGGAATAGCCCAAGATCCGTGTTTCGAAGCTTCGGGTGCATGGTTCCGGGACATGGTGCAAGCATCTAAGCCCCTGATCTTTGCCAGTCCCCTAAAGGCCCTGGTACTCGCCTTAAAGTAGTCCCACCTACTGTGGGGCCAAAGTAGATACTGTTTGGGTTGATGGAGTTTTCGGGATCGGCCATGCAGAGAGGCTTTATGAGGATGACGTCCTTTGGGGTCTAGGGTTTTTGCTTAGGGTTTAAGTTAAGGGTTTAGGGTTTATCCAGATGATGTCTTTCAGGGTTTAGGATATCTGTTCATGGTTTAGGGTTCATGAGGTTGATGTCCATTGCTTGATTCGGATCACCGGCCTGTCGTGGCACCCCACTGCGCGAGTAGGCGTTGGCCACGATGGCCAGCTCCTCAAGGCGCTCGGTTTGTGTACGGCTATATCGAGCTTTAAACGGGGGCAGTAAGGGCTTTGGGATTCCAGAAGGATTCAGGGCTTTGGTTGTAGCTTCGGGCTTATGAAAGCTTCGGGACGCGGGGTCTCAATTTGTAGGGCTTAGCAAAGTTTATTAGCAGGAAGGCTTACAGCGCAAGGTTTGAGGCTTTGAAGGTTTTTGCTTTGAAGTGCAATGGCTCTTCCTCAACTCAGCACGCAGAGCAGGTCTTGAGCCCGCCTTCAACCAGGCTTACACTAAGGCCGTGAAATCACCGAACAGCAAGGCAGGGCAGGTTTACAGCTTAGGGTTTGGAGGGCCTAGGGCTTAGGGTTTAGGGTTTAGGGTTTAGGGACGGTTGCCGGTTTCGGGCTTTCAGGCTTTGGGTTTTGAGTGTTCGGCTTGGTGAGCTGCTCCTAAAGTAGACCTTCAAAGCGAGTGCTGGCGCATGGACGGGACTACTCTGATAACTCACCGCTCACAGACATAAGTTGCCTGTGCATTTGCTAGCTAAACCCTAATCCCTAAACCCTAAACCTCAGTCGAAGCCAGTCGAACCCGGTGCATACGCGGTAGTAGAGGACCATTTTAAGGACTTATATAAGGAAATCGTAATAAGGAACCCTAAAGAAGTAGGTTAGTCAGGATTAAGGCAAACCCTAAGCCCCAACCCGATCCCTGCCCATACCCTCTCCGCTGGTCCTTTGGGTAGAGTTCACCTTGGGTGGCTGCGATTACAGATCGTTGTAACCGAGTTCCTGTATGGAGCTCTATGGAAAAGCTTTTATCAGGTTTTGTGGAATTAATCATCAGGATAGGTTTGTGCTATACAGTACTGGCGGGAACTCTCAGGAAGAGAATTTGCAGTTATTCAGGCTTCTCTCCAGGCCTCGGCGCTACACCCCAAGCACAACCTGTTTGCCTAGTCTGTTGATTCCCTAGCTGATGTAGTAGCAGCGAATTGGATGACTAATTTTTCAGGTCAGAAATCACGTTGGGGATTGCCGTGCTGATGCAGAGGAGCGCAGGTGGTGCGCTCCCACAGAAGCCACATGTCACATGACCATTTCCGTCTTGGGGCTGCATGGGCTCTTCAAGCGTGCTGGGTGATTTGACCATGAGCCCGGCCAAATACCATAACCCCATGCGATCGAAATCCTTCAAGCCGATAAGCTCCAAATCCCGAGAGTGTAGCAACCCGAAAGTTTGGCCCTACATGGGTACTCAGACAGTACTGTGCAGAGTGCATTACAACGAAAATGCTGAAGCGGCTTCATAAATATATGTACTTGTTTCTACATCGCTCTACGCAACGAAACCTCTGAACCAAATCGAAGAGTGCAGCATGTGTGCGCAAGTGTGTGTGTGTGTGTATGTGCAGATTCATACATATATGTGTATGTATATATACATTTACATATATATATATATACATACGACCATCTAATTATGTATCTGGGACAGTGGGAAACTGGGAGCGTGAGAGAACGAGCGTGGGAGAACGAGTTCTCTGACAGGAGTCCCCATCAAGCAAATGATCTTTAAGTGTCTCATCTTGAATTTTTCCGTTAAATAAATGGCCTAAGCTACAAAGGGCTTCTTGCTACGGCTTGGGGACATGGTCTTGGGCTTTCTGGTCAGATTGGTTTCTGGTCTCAAGTAACAGGCTGATCTTTATTAAATTGAAACTTACCTGATTTAAGGGGTCCTTTCAATTAGCATCCTACTGAAGGGCACCTAAGGCTGTCCCTCTTTTCACCAAACTCGCATGCATCGGCCCAACCCAACCTCCTAAACGCTACACCCTGCACACCCCGTAAGCCCTGAACCTACACCCTTAACCCCAAGCCCCCTAAACCATAACCCCATGAACCCTAAACCCTGCACCCGCTAAACTACCCTAAACCCCACAACCCATAAAACCTCATAAACCCCATAGGCCCCGTAAGCCCTGCACCCGGAGAACACAAGGCGCCGCGCTGAGCCAACTCTGCAGGACGTAGGCGAAGTGGCTCAGGAGCCCCTCCGGTCCTCAAAGGGTTTAGGCTTTAAGGTATTTAAGGTTTAGGCGGTTTAGGCGGTTGAGGGTTTAGGGTTTAAGTCTAAGGCGTAGGGACCTAAACTTTGGGTTTAGGATTTTAAGCTTTGGGATTTCTAGTGCCTACGAATTTAGGGTTTAGACTGTAGGGTTTCGGGTTACAGAGTGCAAGATTAGGGCTTTGGTACCGATGGGGGTCTGGGGTTCAAGGATGGAAGAATAAGCAGAAATACCCTAAACCCTAAATCCCCTAAAAACTAAACCCTATAACCCTATAAACCCTCCTGGAACCCCTAAACCCTATAAACCCTAACTGGTCTTTCTTCGGGGTTTCCTTTTTTTTTATCAAAGGCTCCGAGCCATGGCTCCTTCTGTTGCCACTAGCATTTAGGGGCTTGGGGGGCTTAGGGTTTGAGGGTTTCGGGCTTTTAAGGCTACATCGGCTATATGAAGGTCTAGGGTTTAGGGGGTAGGGGCTTAATTAGGGGGTTTAGGGTTTGAGGGTTTTAGGGCTAAGGGGTTTAGCGTTTGGGGGTTAGGGGTCGAGGTTGGGGTTTGGGGTTTAGCGTTTGGGGGTTAGGTGTTTAGGGGTCTAGGGGTTGGGAGCTTGTAGTTTGGAGTTTAGGGGTTCGGGGGTCAGGGGTCTAGGGGTTTGGTTGGGGTGTAGAGTTTAGGGGTTCAGGGGCAGTGACAGCAGCAGCAGGAGGAGGAGCAGGAGCAGAAGCACGAGCAGGAGTATGAGTAGGAAACCAACTATATAATTATAACACAACATACTACCGTAATTTGATCGGAACACAGAGTAAAGGGGAGAAGCATGCGGACTAGTCATCTAGCTGAAGCTTCACTCACCTGAGGACCGCACCGGAACCCAATCGAAGCTTTGCAAGTCCATTCCTCGGGGTTCCGTGGGCCGGGTTTGCCGTTTCAAGCAACTTTGCTGGATTCGGGTTACTGTAGCATCTGACATTGCCGGGATGTTTCTGGTTTAGGGGTTTAGGGGTTTCTGGTTTAGGGGTTTAGGGTTTGTTCTGTCAAGGCTTATGAACCGCAAGGTGGGGTTGAACAATCCATGGCGGCTTACACACACCACCAAGCCCTTCCTGTACCCTATGCCAATGAGACCTAACCGATTTCAGGAGCTGTATGAGGAAATCATAATCAGGAACCCGACCTTACACCCAAAGCCTCCCTTCACCCCAAAAGCCCTCACCCTCAAACCCAAGAAAACCCTAAAGCTTAGAAGGGGCCCCCACCCTGTAATAGTGACTATAAGGATTATATAGGATTGTACTAGGGCCCTACTATATTCCTATTATACCCACTATTACAGGGTGGGGGCAGCTTCTAACCAAACCCAAACTCCCACAACCCCAAAACCCTGAGGTTCGTGTGAACACGCCCTAGACCGAAAGCCGACGAAAGGGCTGAGCATTGCAGAGTTTAGGGGCTTAGTTTAGGGTAAATAGAGGGTATAAGAAAAAGAATACAGAGTTACAAAACATAAATAAAGTTTAGGGTATAGGGATTGGGGGGTAAAGGGTATAGGGTACCAGGAAAAGGGCATTAGGGCATAGGAGCATGGTTTCTTCATCTTTGTGTGATCGGGCGACCGGGCGGTCGTTGGGATGTGAACATTACTTCCGCAGCAGAGCAGAAACCCGTGACGAGGAACCTGCACATAACGGTTCACCTGCCGAAGACCCAGAACGCCTCCCCTGTCCCAGGGCACCCGGCACCAGTTGAACCGCACTGGAGCCCTGATCAGGTAGGAGGATGTGGGTTTACGGCGTAGGGTTTGGGATTTAAGGGTAGAAGGTCAAGGGTTCAGGGGTTAAGGTATATACATTCCAGGGTGGGGCCTGTTCTGAATTCTTTGACAGACGTGTGCGATATGGGGGCCGCAAGACTCAAACCATGGGCGTAGCGTGTGCTTAGTGCGTGCGTGTATTATTTTGTATAATGTATAGTATACGAACAGCACTCCGCGAGAGTGTACAGGAAACCATGAGTCCAGCATCGTCTGTGGGGCTTGCAGCTTTCGGGGATATAGGGTCTCGCGGCTAGCGTAGGGTTTGGGGCTAAAAGGATTTTTTTGTGGATGAGCATCCTGAAGACTTTGGTTAGACTGGACGACTGGAAATTGGTGAAGGGGCACGCACGATCAACTTTTTCTCTCAAGTGCTGAAACATTCCGCCAACTACCGGGGCAAAAAGCCCTACAGTAGCTGTTAGCTGCCAAGCAGAAAACACTCTGAACTCAGGAGCTCGCTTACGGCTTAGCCTGCTGTCTGCAGCAATGCGAAGATTTCATAGAGAACTGTTAGAGACCCAGGGTGACAGCAGAAGCAACCATCGGGCAGCCACCACGTCCTTTCAGCTAGCTAAGTCAGGAGGTGCCCCCTTATAACCTTCGTCCTCAACTTGAAAGCCTAAACTCCACAAGAACAAGCAGATCGTCGAAGTCCCGAACCACTGAAACTCGCACCATGAACCCTCCCCTATAACCCTGAACCCAAAGCCCCAACAATGTAGGAGCCTGCATAATTTGAATAAGGTTTCCTTAGGAATAATACTGGCCTGAAAATCATCACTGCGCTTCAGTGCGGCCTCCATGAAGAAAGGCACATGAGGACTCTTATGGTGGGGTTGAGGTTTGAGGTCTTGACCCTAGGCTCTATAGAGTTTAGGGGTCTTTCGATGCTCTTTTGCATTTGTTGGCGTGGTTCCTTTCTGTCGAGCTTTTTGAAGCTCATCAGTTAGAGTTTTATACCCAAAGAACTAAGCCGGAAACCCTGAGCTGCTATACTAAACCAGACCGGCGCTAAACCCTTAACCCCCTACACTCGCAACCCGAAGTTTATGAAGTCTAAACCACTAAACCCTGAACCTTAAAATCCCTGAACCCCTCGAGCCTAATCCCCTGAATGATCCAACAAACACAAGCCTTTTAGCCACGTAGTTCTTTGAAAAGGAAGGCTCTTGTCGTGCTAGGTTCTTGAAATGCCCATTTAGAATAATGGTACCCCTTTTCCTGCTACTCGGTTATAAAAAGGAGACCCTACAGCAAAAGGGCAACAGGGCGCTACTCAGGAACATAGATAAGGCTCTTTTAGGAGGTCAGGCTTAGGATTTGGGGAGCCTTCGGAATGTGGCCGGACTGAGGCGCCAGGTTTACAACCCCACACACAATTAACGCGAATCTTGAAATCGTAGATTCCAAACCCAAACTTTGGTGTGGCCTTGAACCCTAAACCCCACACCCTCTAATTGCTCTGAACCCCAGACCCGCACCAAGCATCCGGAACCTCCTTCCCTCCATGCTTCGATGCCTATTCCTGTTCCAGCCGTCCTTGCTATTCGCCTATAGTTATTAGCAGCACTGGGTTTCTTTCCTGCTGTTATGTACCTCACCTTGCTTCGTTATACTGCTGCTGGCATGTACACTTCAGCAACCACTGGCTTCTCTGCCAGTGCACTGCATGAATTGCTACCGACAGTGCTTATACTGCTACTGCGGTAACTGTCATTGCAAGTCTGGCATCTTGTATTCGGGATCTTTCAGGGAACATTATGACCAACTCTTCAGGCCCGCAAAACCCTACAAAACCGCATAAACGGTTGTAAAACCCTGCAAGACCGCATCAAACATATCAAACAGCCAAGGACTATCAAGCCCTTGTAAAACCCACACCCTCCGAAGACCAATGTGAGGTGTGCCTCTGACAGGGCACCGAAGGCCGGATGTGTAGCAGGGACGGCTTGAGAATTCGCCAGGCCTGCGGTGATCTTTGGGTTAAGTGCTGGGTTCGGGCCGAGAGTTTAGTGGGGGGTGTGCTCATTGAGGGACGGCGAATTAGTGGCATTCCGTGTTGCTTAGGTATAAGCGGATTTGAGAGCCCGAGAACACGCATCAGGTGCACGGAGTTTCTTGCAATACACCATTCTGGCTATATTTTTTTATATAACCATATAAAACATTCTAGTACATTATGGAGGGTCTTATCGTCTGTTACACGTATACTAAAGTAATGCCAGAATGGGAGGTGGCAGACCCTAAGTAATAGTTTAGCATGGCGAGCAAAACTGAAAACAGGTCAAACCTTCAGTCGGCTGCCAACACTACTCCCTCAGGGTCCCCCTATATATGTTCTTTGGGGCCAAAGTATATACTGTTTGAGTACATGGATCCTTAGGGTACTGTTACTTGAAAAACGAGAGCAAAGACAACTAAAACAGTTTTTTCATGCTGCCGCCGCTGCTACTGAACTGATTGGCTCAGACCGCCAACTAAGCTTGGGGCTTGAATCACAAACCTTGAACCCCAAACCCTAAACCCCAAACCCGAAACCTTGAACCCCTAACCCCCAAACCCCTAAACCCCAAACCCCAAACCCTAAACCCTAAACCCCTAAAACCCTAAACCCTAAACCCAAACCCCTAAACCCTAAACCCCTAAAACCCTAAACCCTAAACCCCTAAACCCCTAAAGCCCAAAAACAAAAACTGCTTCGACTTCATCAACGCAGCCCGAGAGCCTGATATGGCTCGTGCGATCTCCTCGCTGAGGGACTAGCCTAAATTTCCTAAATTAGGGTTTAGGGTTTAGGGTTTAGAGGGAGACCCCTTACAAAATACCCCTTCCGAACCCTGCTTCTAGCTCCCTTAAGAAGGACCTTATTGATATTGAGAGGGTGTATATCCCCGCGGGTCCCCCTAATCCTGACTCCCAAGGTTTCCTTTAAAGGGCTCTGTAAGGGCTACTATAAGGGATGCTATACGGGTACTATGATATGGGGGCCTAAGCAATTAGAATAGAGTTCCTGTACAGGGGTCTATAGGGGCTACTATATGGGATACTATACGGGTACTAAAATATAGGGGCCGAAATAGTTAGAATAGGGTTTGGGGGTATATTATACTAGCATAATGGAATAAGGAACCCCCATAAGGCCTCTGTAGTACATGCCTGAGCTAAGCTTCGAGGTATTGGGTTTAGGCGGTTTAGGGTGTAGGGGTTCTGGGTTTAGGCGTTTACAGGTTTAGGGCTTACAGGGTTTATGGGCGTCTAGGGTTTAGGGGTTTAGGGCACTGTGCCGTGTAGCAGATTCTGATTCAAGATTCATTCCAGCTCGGATCCCGAATAGTTAAACCTCGAGCCTGTCGGCGTTGGGGGGCGCTAATCCGAACGTTCCACTCGTTCCACTCGTTCCACTCGCTCCACTCGCCCTGACGACTTGAATTCCTCGCCCCCTGCCTTGGGCGGTCGCAGATCTGGCGGTGCCAATGAATCAGTCTGTTCCAATCGTTCCACTCGCTCTGTGCCTTACCCGTTCCAGTTCCTGTTGCCTAGCTGTGGCGCTAGTGGCACGAGTGGCGTGGACAACTTTAATTATCCCCCCCGTGCGGCCGCAATGGAAACCTCCCTAGATGATAACGGTGACCCTAGGACTTGATTCGTGAAGTTTGTGTTGACCAGGCCTCTACTTGAGCCCCAAGCTCGTAAGACCTACCACCCCAAGAGAACCCGACTCACACAGCATCCATAGCCCTTATCTCCTGAACACGAACCCCAACATAGCAACAGTCTACCAGGACCTTTCTAAACCCTAATTAAACCCTGAACCCTAATCCTAAAACCTACACCGTAAATTCTGAACCCTACCTGTGGGCTCATACACTCCCCTTTTTTAGGTTATCTACTTGTCTATATAACAGATCCTAACCTAAAACTAGGCACCCTAACAAAGGGGTAGGGTATGAGACTCTAGGTATACCCCCAACCCTACTTGTCGGGTATCATGGGGTCTAAAGGTTAACCTTCTCGGTTCAGGGATTACTTAGGGACTATACTACCCCCAAAAGGTTAAGTGTTACCGACTCGACTACTAGGAAACCTTAAACACAGGTTCTTAAGCTCCTGCGGGCTGAGCAGATTCGCATCGCCACAAAGCTTTGTTGCCAACGCCGCGAAGAGCCCGACTTTCAAGGACCGCCTAAGCACTAGGTTGGCCCTTTGAAGCCTCTGAAAAATATTCGTAAATAGGGTCCTACTAAGCCCAACTACCTAGAGCAGTAGAGTAGAGGGCTCATAGGTTGAGGCCAAGGCTCTTTTAGTGACAGCAGTCGAGGGCTTATGGGTTTAGGCTTTGGCGCTTGGCGTGTTTACGTGTTCTGTTTCGGAGTTTACGGGTTTGTAGTTTAGCGCTTCAAAGGTCATGCAAGGCATGGGTTGCTCCTTTTCAAAGAGCGTGTTAAGCGCTACCTCAAGCCCTAAACCCTATGGGTATGTTGCCTTTTGCTGCTTCCTTTTTAAACTTCTGCTTACCCATAGGCCCCCAAGGTTCCTTTTTGGGGTTAGCTTATAGGATTCTAAATAACAAACCCCCAAAAGGAACTACTTTGGGGCCTTAGGGTAAGGATGCTTTGCCACCCGGACGGCAGGTTTGGCGCTTCGGGTCTGCCGTTTTACCATACAGGGCTCCAGAGTTTAGGGCTTCAGGGTTTACCCAGACCATTTTAGGGCTCCTTGCTATGACTTCTGCATATAACTCCCTACAAAAAGGTAGATTACGTATCTCGAGTCTTTATATGTGTAAATGATTGAACAAAGGTAAGCTCGGCGCTTCGGTCAATTTCGGTCTATGTGGACGTGAGAATTTGAAGAGACCCAAAAACCGCAGCTGAACGACCACCGTAAGGTTGCGATATCCCATATATTCCCTCTTCAAGTCAGCCGGTAGGGTAGGATGTTTGAGTGCTCTTTGCTGATCCTGCGAATTGTGCTTCAACCCAACATGTTGCATGTGACCAGGGGCCCAGGCACTTCCTGCCAACCGTCTCCGACCTAGGTGTGGCTCCGGCTCGTTCGGATGCAGGGTTTGGGTGATGTAGATGAGCTTAGGGCCTAAGGCTCCATGTAGCCACATACTTAGAGGATCATTGGACTTAGTAAGTATGGTTATAAGTACCTTAATTGGGGTTATAAGTAACTAAGTAACTATAACTGTAGTTAGGGTCCCGTAGTGCTGGGCCTTCGGAACTCGGCTGATAAGGACAGATTGCTTTGGAGGGCTTTCGGGCTTCGGCCATCGAAAGTGTCCACGGTCTGGGAGTTCGGGTTGGGGTGTCGGATTCCGTGAATCTATTTCAGCTCCTCCGGGTTGCCGAAAACCTTGTAAAAAGGAGCCGTAGGCGTATCAACCTGTCACAGCTTCGTTTGCCCGACCCGGAACCCCAAAACCTCTAGTCGAACCCCCAAACCCCCTAAGCTTGCACAGAGAAGCGCCTTCCGACTTCCAGCTGAGAGGGTCCACAGCGGATCATAGCTGCGGGTCCCTAAGGCCCCGTGCTCGGCACAAAGATGGACTTTAAGGGTCCCTGTACTCAAATAGTATGTACTTCGGCCCCAAAGTACCTATATAGGGACTACTTTAAGGCCGAAGTATATACTATTTGGGTACATGGACGCCTAGGGGCGCAGCGAGCGGCATCGCCATCCACAGTTCCATGCTTGAATGTCGTCCTGATGCTCCAAAGTTGGGTTGTACTTTAAAAAAGCGCGCCGCATATCAGTACTACTCAGGTTGATGATCAGGTACCGCTACATTGAGGCCAGAAAACTCTTCCCCAACAGGACAAAACCCTAAACCCCGAAATCCTAAGCCATAAACAGTTCCTCAACCCAGATCCTCAAAACCCAAGAACCCTGGAGACCAGAGCCCTAAACCCTCCTACATGATTTTCCTAAACCCTAACCCCTAAACCCTAGAATCCTGGAGCCCGTAAAGGAAGAACCCCTATAGACTGTTGGAAGGAGCAATAAAACACAAAAAAACTCTCAACAGCACGCCTGACAGGACTAAGCCCCAAAGCATTAACCCGTAACCCTAACACTTAAGGTTTAGAGTTTAGGGTTTAGGGTTTAAGGTTTAGGGTTTAGGCTATACCCTTAATGAACCCCTATACTTACCCTTAATGAACCCCTATACTTACCCTTAATGAACCCCTTGAAGCATGCACCGAAAAGCCTAAAGAATCCTCCGAGTTCGGGGCCGAGCCCTTGGAAAGGCCCAGTTTGGCGACCTGACGATCCGTCTTCAGCTGGGTTGGCCTTTAAAACACCCTGATATATATATATATATATATATATATATTATATTATATTATATTATATTATATTATATTATATTATATTATATTATATTATATTATATTATATTATATTATATTATATTATATTATATTATACATTATATATTATATATAATATATTATATATTATATAGTATATATTATATATTATATAAAATATATTATATATTATATAGTATATATTATATATTATATATATTATATATTATATGTTATATGTTATATATTATATATTATATACTATATAGTATATATTATATATTATATAATATTTATTATATATTATATATTATATAATATATATTATATAATATATATTATATAATATATATTATATAAAATATATATTACTATAATATATATTTTATTATATATATATCATATATCGATTATATATTATATATAATTACATATCTATATATAGTACATATTATATTTCATATTATTAATATATAATATTATATTATATATATATATATATATAATCTATATATCTATATTAAGATATATATATATATATATATTATATATATATTAATATTATATATATACACATATTATATATATGTGTGTATATATATAGGGTCCCTTATAAACCCAAATAAGGAACATAAAAGATGTCCCCGAAATCCAACCTAGTCAGGGCTTTTCGGGCTTCGGCTCTCTGGGCTTAGCCTTGGGGCTTCGGCTTCAAGGGGTTTAGGGTGAGGGGGTTTCCGAAAATAGGGGTACCTTATTTGGGGGTCCTTATAATAAGGATCCTACTATTCAGGGCACCATATTAGGGTCCCCTATTTTCGGAAACCCCCGTGTGGGGTCAAGGCTTCAGCGTTTCGGGTTGGGGGTGATAGGGATTAGGGCTGGGGTTTGTGGTGGAGGGTTTGGGGTCTCGGCTTCAGGGTTTGGGGTTTAGGGTTTGGGGTTTAGGGTTTAGCTACTAGACCCAAGAGTAACCTAGGAAGAAAAAGGGTGCCCTTTTTGGTTTAAAGGGGGTTATAAGGGAACCTAAACCCTTAAAAAGGGAATAAGGGCCTACTCTGGGTCCTAGTATATCTCAAAACCTCCCAAGCCTGACAACCTCCCAAGCCTGACTCAAAACACAAGAATAGACCAGTGGATCTCTGAACTTTATACAACCGTAATATACATCCCAACCCCTCACCGCCAACCCGCCCTTCTCAAAAAGGCCCTAGACGCTCAAACCTAAACCCCGAAACTCCAATTAGGGTTTAGGGTTTAGGGTTTAGGGTTTTGGTCCAAACGATAAAATAGCTTAAGTAACCGGTGTTCTAGGGCAGCTGAAAATGTCAACCTTCTGGGTTGCATACGCCTCAGCTCCCACCTAAACCCTAAACACCCTACAGCCCAAAACCACAGGCCGTAATCTCAGTTGGAACACCAGGCATCTAAGACTTCGGCTGCGTTGCTCATGGAAGCAGCAAGTACGGGAGACATATCCGGCCTCCAGATTGGGATTTGGGTTTAGGCCCATGGAAGCAGCAAATAAAAGAGGCCGGTCCGTCCCTCCAGATTTGAGGGGTTGCGGTTTTTTTGCTTGAACATCTTCGGGGTTGAAGGTTTTTTTTAAAGTGCAATGACGCTCCTTTTCTGAAGCACCTGCCACAACGGGGCTTACACTCAGTTGTACTAGGGTTGAAGGTTTGAGCTTGAGGGTTCAGGGCTTGAGATCCTGAGAGCTTTGGGGTGTAGGATGCCCCAAGGAGAACGAAAGAAAGACTGGTGGTGCAAAGATTGGGACATGTATGGTGGTAAGATTGAGGTGTGTCGTTGAAAAAAGTTTTGTGGTGCTAAAGCCACAAAGGGAGCGCCCCTACAAGGACCATGAGTTGCAGCAGCCCTATCTGATAGTCCTTTTCCTGTCCACAAGCAATGTCGAAGGATAGCATGCATACCCAAACCACAGAGCCAAGTCATGCCAAGTCTGTGAAGGGAGGGCGAAGGTGTTTGCTTACCTGTACCCAAACCTGAGCAAAACAACACCCTAAACCCTAAACCCTAAACCCCTAAACCCTAAACCCTAAACCCCTAAACCCTAAACACCCTAAACCCCTAAACCCCCTTGTCCGGAACCTCGAACTCAGCCTTGAACCCCTCTGAAGCCAACACTGACGCCTTTAACTCAGCACTGCCAAGGGTTTAGGGTTTAGGGCCATTCACAGCAGAATCCTCGAAGCCCCTCTGAAACCGCTTTCAAATACGTAGGACTTAGGCTCATGCACACAGCGGATCAGATCGTTCAGGATGGCTACCCAGTCGTCGGGTTCGACGTGGCCGTCTCCATTCCGAACCTGGTATCTGAAGTGTGTTTCTTGAAGGATCATGGGACTTAGTAAGTAGGGTTATAAGTACCCTAGTTGGGGTTATAAGTAATTATAAGCATAGTCACGCGAATTATAACCCTAGTTACTAAGTCCCATCACCCTTTAAGTTGGGTTGGTTCCTCTACCCTGAACCCAGTCTAATTTCCCGAAAGCCTAGACCATAAACCCTCCCCAAAACCTCCAAACACTACACCCTCGGCTGGGCATGGTTTGAGGTTCAAGACCCATCCTATTTGGGGGTTCAGGGTTTATAGGTGCGAACTGCTTCAAGCGTGAACTCGGGCTTTGATGTAAGCATTTCGAAACTAATGCACCTCCAAACTATGCAGTTGAAACAGTTGCCACTAAAGAGGACATGAAAGGCGGAGGGCCTAATCCCCAGAGGACCCAATATCCCTTAATTGAGGAAAATGGCTTAAATCATAATATGAAGCCCTATATGATTTAAGGTATATTCCTTAATTCAGGGATATTGGGCTCTCTGGGTCTAGAACGGCCCCATGCGAGTCTTCGGGGCTTTGTGTTTTGTGTTGGTTAGTTGTCCGAGGGCACTGCTGTCGAACGGCTCAGGAACCCCAAACAGTATTGGTATTTATTCAGGCCCCTATATCATAGCACCGGTTAGAACATCCCTAAACCCTGAACCATCACACCTGCAGCAACTCGAATTCCCAAGGCTTGACCCTCGAGCTTCCTACGTAGCAGAGACCTACAATCTCCGTTCTAGTTCCCCTTGAGAATTTTAGTGTGCATGGTAATTCCTTACTGGGACCTTTGACAGTCCTTAATATAGAATTTGTTACAAACCACCAAAATGGAACTGCAATGGATACCGCAGAAAACCTTCAAGTCTTGGGCTGTCATGTTTCTGGAAGCCTTGGTGAACCCATAGATTCCATAATTCAGCGAGTTCAGGGCTAGTTTTGAAGTAACGAAAACCACAGCCATCTTACATACTCCTATACCTGAGCTTAGACCGATCAGATCCATTGCCCTACTTGGAGGTTCATGGGTGGTTTTAAGCAGGGTTATAAGCAGGATAACTCTACTTATAACCCATATTAGGGGACTTAGAACCCTACTTATAACTACCTATGAACCTCCAAGTATGGACCCATGCACCCACGTGCACCTGTTTAGGAAGCGCTTCAACTTGAAAGTATAAAATGTCTGGGTACATGGACTCTAAAACCCCACAGCAAACCCTCTGCAACAGATCTACTAGCAACTCGTGAAACCACTAACGGAAACCTACACATTAAAGACTGAACAGAACCAGAGTCCTAAACCCTCTACCTGAAACCCGAACACCCTAATCTGTGTATGAGTACATATATGAAGCCCAGGCCCGTGACTAGTCTGGTTGCAGCCAATGCCTCCCAAGTAAAGTTTCGGGATTCTAGGGAATTCTGAGATATTCCGAGTTTTAAATGTTGAAGCATTTGTTAAGGGTATGGAAGAGCGTCATATAGGGGTTTCGAGGTTTAGGGGTTCTAGGACTGTAGGACTTCAGGAGTTTAAGGGGTTGCGATGGCTTGAGGGTCTATGCCAAAGAAAGCTGCGGGCGCAGGGGGCGCAAGGGTTGCAAGTTACACGAGTCATGGGCCTTGAACCCGACACCCCCAAGGCTTGGACCTGGAAAACGTCAAAGCCAAAAACACTTTCCGCAACATCAACCCTTAAACACTTTAAAAGCTAAGTCCACAGCCTAGATCCACAGGGCTGAGGGTTTACAGCTTGAGTGTTCATTAAGCTTGAAGCCCAAAGCTACATGGGCAGGGAATTTGTGGCGCTCAGGGCTTGAGGAAAATTTCCGGAGTGCCCAGTGGATTGGAAGTCCACAGTGCAGGCCGTGTTCTATCAGGGTTTAGGGTTTAGGGTTCTATCATAGCTCCGACAAGCAACGAGCAAGTAATTCTGCTGCAGAAAGCTCGTGTAAATCTGAGACCACAGAATCATGAATGAAGCCCTAAACCCTATGAACCTTACACCCTAAAAACCTAAAGCCTCCGAAACCCTGAAACCCTAAACCCTAAGAGACCCTCGAGCCTAAGCCATCAAACCCCATGAAGCCATCATCCTCCCGGAGCACTCAATTCTGACAAAGCTTCGGGTCTCGCTCTTCCGATCAAGGGTTTAGAGTTTAGGGTTTAGAGTTTAGGGTTTGTAGTGGAGGGTTTTGGGTTTAGGGTTTAGGGTTCAGAGTTTAGGGTTTAGAGTTTAGGGTTTAGGGTTTAGGGCCCAAGAAGTAGCTAAGGAGGCTCATATCCGATTCCCTGTCTGCCGTCATGTCAATGTGAGTAGGTCCATTTCCTTCGGAGTATTGCGGTAAATGCACTAGGGAACATTCGCAGCTCGAGTAAGAATTGTTCATGAAGAAGTAACAGCGACGACAAATGATCCAATCCTGCTACTCTATGGCTAACTTTAGTGCTGCACTGCCTCCGTGTTTGGAATTCCAAACAGCCATCCCGGAAGTGCATAAGCAACAGGAGCCTTGACTAGAAACGTGTGTTTTTGTTGAGAAGGGGTGCGGTAGACCATACTACAACTGTAGCAGGAACCCAAAATAAACTATGGTCGCTGTTCCTGCTTTCCTGTATCAGACCTGACTGCCCTGTCGGAGGTTTAAAAAACCCATAGATCCCCCATAGAGACCCCTTATAGATCCCTTAAAGGAAGCCTCATAGACCCCTTAAAGGAAGCCTCAAAAGGGATCCCTAGGTGTGTAGCCTTCTTGCTCAAAGCCAGGCGCTCGAAGTCCGCTGCGATGGTGGACTGAACCACAGGAACCGCCTGTGGCCTTAAATGACAGACTTTTAGGGTATAGGGTTTAGGGTTTAGGGTGCGCCTGGAAGTTGAAACACGCCGCCCCGATGCTCAGCAGGACTACGACGGGAACACTGCTGATGACTCGGTAAGGGTGAACACGATGATGATTACCATTCACGATGGTTTGCTCTCTAGCGTTATGCTGATGCTGGTTGCTTTGGTGGTGGTGGTGGTGGTGGTGGTGGTGCTCAAAATTGCGATGACATTGATGATGCATGTGATGGTGACGATGATGACGACGATGATGATGATGTTGCGATGATGACCATGATGATGCCGTTGATGATGATTATGACGGTGATGATGATGCGTATGTTGATACTGCTGGTGATGTTGATGATGTTGATGACGACTGAAGACAGCGATGCAATCATGAGAGGGGTGCAGCGATGACGAAAGTAATTTACAGCGACATACTGTTGGTGACCCCAAGCTTTGGTGTAAAGAACCGTCCAGCCAATTGCTTGTCCTTGCATCGGCCAAATGGCAGGGATGCTGCCGGCACATTCGCTGACCCAGCATTGAAACAAGCCTCGCATGGTAGAGGTTTAGATTCTTGTTTTAGGGTATAGCACAGTGCAACTACTGTGTAATCGGGACTAGCAGGACTAATGTTTGCAATTGTTCCGACTCCTATGGTCAGCTTGGATGGTGTCAGCTGTAGGGCCATGTAAGCTTCAGTGGTGAAACTCAGGGTTTGGCCGCGGTTGGGCTTTCTTAAGTTTGGGGGCCTTTGGGCCACTTTGGGCCTACTCCCAGCAAGTCCAAGAACACGAACCAAACAGTGATCAGACGAGAGGGTTGCGCTTCGTGGTTATTCCAATACTCGACCAGTCAAGCAGTGAATCACCCATACTGTTGGCTACCTTCTGCGGACGAAAGCAATCGTAGCAACATGTGGGTGGTTGTCAAAATCATGATCCCTTTTTGGGCACCCTAAATATTAGGTGCCGTACTATCTATATATATATATATATATATATGGTCACCCCCCCCCATGACAGACCATCCCCTTTAAAACATCGCTCCCACCGGCGTGTTCGTGCTTTTTCCGGAGTATCGAGTTTGAGCCCTCCGAACGTATCCCTGGAACCACCAAAAGACTGAGACCAGAAAGCAGCACGATAAGGCGCGCGGGTGTCCTACCAAGAAAGGAATTACAGAGCACACGTGTATGGATGAGGGTTGTGCTGATACACTACATAGTAAGCACTACACAGTAATCTTATTGAGTCATATATAGAGCAGATTCCAGCA